TAGATATTTCCTAATTAATAAAATGAAAAAGCTTTTAAGATATACTTCAGCTATGTGTGAAGTCAAATATGCAGATCATTGAAGTTTGATGACAAGCACACTGGAGTTCATGATCTATTCTTTACACTTATATGCATTTTTGAAAAATTCCATAATAAAGAGGTAAGAAAATAGTATCAGAATAAACATTTTAATGCAATTACTACTCACAGTAATTCCTAGAGCCCTAACATGGGAGGAAACACAGTCTCTGCTCCAAAAGAAAATCTTCCCATCTTCAGTCTCTCTGTTTACCTAAAACTGACACTTGGAAAAGCTTTCAAATAATATATCAAGAGTAGAACCAAAATTGCAACAGAGCACCTACTGACACTTCCTGCTGTGTTTATTTACAGTCTGACTCCTACTAATTCTTCTCATTGGCTTTGTATTCTTTAATAAGCACTAAACATACATACTATGGCATTTTGGTATCTACAGTCTTTAAAAATGACCCTTAGGAAGCTGAAGATACTGTGGTCAATGTTTTTCCAAAAGTGAGTCCAAGTTTCAATTTCATTTAAGCTTCTATAATGTATTGCTTTTCTATTCTTTAAATATATAAAGTCTATGGGATGGGAAAAATCATATATCCATACCAAGCATTTTTACAGTATGTTTTCCGTAGTTAAAAAAAAAATGTGCTTCATGATGTTGACATATTCCTTCGAGATCATTTTTATACCTGGCAGTCCACAAGCTGGGCCTCCATGTCCATGGGTTCCTTGGGTGTACCCAGTGCGATGTCCAGAGTGGCCTTGGTACTCAAGAGCCAGCTGTCCAGCTCATCAGCTTCACAACGATACCGCTGCAGGGCTTGTTCCTGCCTTTGTTCCTCCAGCTGATCATTCAGCTTCTCCTGATGAATTAAGTAAAATGTAGCATAGACCACCCGAAGGTAAAATCTTGAGAATTTAACACAGTAAAGCAATAGTTCTGGGCCCTGGCTGCACATACAAATCACTGCTGAAACTAAAAAATTACCTTTGCTGAGGCCACGTCCCAGAACAACAATCAGAATTTCTAGGGGTGAGTCTCAAAATTGGTATTTTTAAAAAGACTCCCTAGTGACTCTAACGTGCACCTAGAGTTGAACAAGTTATTCTCAAATAATATACCTATAGGACCAGGCAGTAACATAAATGATAGAAATCAGCCAAGGATTAGAACAAAACAATGGCATAAAGGACTTGGTAAATGGCAATAGACACTGGACCTCTATGTCTGGGGAACAGTAGGGAGTGATGAAGACTGTGGCAAACTGAAAAATATGTGGCTTGCCTAAAACGGCAGTCATATACAGTTTCAGGCAATTGATCCCTACGGGAAGGGGTGGCCCAGTGTTAACTTTCATCTCAAGTAGAGACAGAAATCTACATTTCTAGGCTATCTCTCTGAAATGCCCATCGATGATAGACTGGACAAGGAAAATGTGGCACATACACACCATGGGATCCTATGCAGCCATAAAAAACGATGAGTTTGTGTCCTTTGTAGGGACATGGATAAATCTGGAAACCATCATTCTCAGCAAACTGACACAAGAACAGAAAATCAAACACTGCATGTTCTCATTCATAGGCAGTTGTTGAACAATGAGAACTCATGGACATAGGGAGCATCATACGCTGGGGTCTGTTGGAGGGGCTAGGAGAGGGACAACAGGGGTGGGGAGGTTAGGGAGCCATAACATGGGGAGAAATGCCAGATATAGGTGACAGGGGATGGGGGCAACAAACCACTTTGCCATGTATGCACCTATGCAACAATCCTGCATGACCTGCACGTGTGCCCCAGAACCTAAAGTACAATAAAAAAAAAAAAAAAAAAAAAGCAAGAACTCCAGGCCAATTGCTTCATTTTGAAACCCCCACAAGTTTTTTATAGAGTTACTGGGGACAATATAAATGAATTAAAAGTTAATTTTTAAAATACTCTAAATACCTTATTTTCAAAATCATTTAATGGATAATTCATTCTCATTTTAAAATTAATTTATTAAACCATTTAAAATGGATATTAATAATAAGTAGGGCAGACACATTGGCTTTAAATATCTCTAATATAAGAGGCATTCGGTTGATGCAAAAGTAATTGTGGTTTTTGCCATTACTTTTGCGCCAACCTAAGATATAAATACATTATTTGAGTAATCATTTAATAGGTAAAACTCGAAGTACCTATACACCCAAGAACAAAGTCATGATTAATTGTGTTATGGCATAATTAGCAGCTGAATAAAATAATATTCAGTTCATATAAGAAATGTATTGAGAACCCATTATGTGGCAGGGAAGCTGCTAAGAAATGCAAGATGACAGACACTATAAAGGTCTTTAGGGAGCCTCCAGTCTAACCAAATTATAGGAGCAACAATATGAGTAGCCTAGAAGCTTTGGGCTAAGAATTATGAGAGAACAAATAAAAAGGAAGAGAGCTGATTTTTGACACAGATATTACTGCTGCCCAAATTTGTCTCTATATTAAATAATATTTAAATTAAGTTATGTGGAAACCAGAATTGCAAGAGCATTTTCATGAATTACTATGTTTGAATTGGCTGACAGTGACTAAGTGTGATTTATTCTTCATAGTATTAGTAGTATCATCCATCAAATGCTGTCAGGTAAACATAGCAAACCATTATGCAAACCTTCTACAATTATTCTTCACAAGGTTCATGTCTACCAAGTATTTGCTTTCCACATTCCCAATTTTCACACCTGAAATGAGTCAGAAAAGGGTCACAGGACATATTCTTGGCTACACACTGACCTTACTCTATTCAGGATATGGTTCTTGAAACACAATCCCAGTTTAGGAGAGGGAAGCAATGAAAATGCAGATACGTAAGTAACCCACATACATGGTAACACAACGTTAAAAGTTAACTCAGAAGCGAGGAGGCCACTTTAGAGTTATTCATTACCTCCAAAAGCTGCCGTTTCCCTGAGGCTTTCATCCTGATGGTGGACATTCGCTCGGCTAAGACAGTGAGGGTGGACTGCAAGGCCAGCTGCTCCGCGGGGTCGGCCTCGCAAGACTCGGATACCAGCTCCTCAGCGAGACAGGACTGGAGGTCGTTGATTTCATCCTGGAGCATGAGAATCTCATCCATCAGTGCCTGGAGGAAAGACTGTGGAATCACACTCATGTATTCATTTTCTTTACTGAGGGATCATTAACGCTAGCTGAGTCTCACATCCGTTGGGATTAGTAGAAGACATTTCACTTGGGAATCATTACTCAATCAACAAATAGGGACCTAGTCGCCTAAGTTTCTAAAATGAAGGGCCAGGACATTTTAATACTGAATATATCATTAACCGAAGTGACTTTGAACAACTTAATCTTTCTAGTTTTCAATAGGCTCATCTGTAATACAAAGAGAATATGCTCCATTATTTCTATTTATCAATTTATGTTTTATCTTTAAGAGACAGTCTCACTCTGTCACCCAGGCTGCAGTGCAGTGGTGTGATCACAGCTCAAGCGGCCCTCCTGCTTGAAGCTAAGACTACAGGTGTGTGCTACCACACCTGGCTTTTTAAATTTCTCTTTTATTTTTTGTAAAGACAGGATCTTGCTATGTTGCCCAGGCTGGTCTCAAACTCCTGGGCTCAAGGAATCCACCAGCCTGGATGACAGGCACGAGCCTCCGCATTTCTCAATCATTTCTAAGAGTCTCCAATACCATGTTGAAAATAAAATGTATCACTTTCTTCCTCAACACAATTTTCCCACATTAACCTACTGCCTTCCCCAAATCTGAAACAGCACTGAGCTCTAATCCAAAACTCACCATGTTTCTCACAAGATGGGAGAAACCTGTAGCCTATTTCTATGTCTTCACACTACTCATTTTTCTCATTTATCAAACTCTAAGAAATAAGGGTCTCTCCCAGGTGATGTCTTGCATTCCCAAGACTTCAAATGCTTTCTAATCCTGAGCACTTCCAAAGGCACATCCCTAACCCACACACCTGCCCTAAGTTTCAGCTGTGCTCAACTTACCTAGTTCACGGGTGTCTGTACAGCATTAAGTCTAAACCTGCTTCCTCTCCTGTCTTCTGCCGCTTCCCATTATGGCTCAAGCTGGAGACTTGGGGGTCATTCTTCACACCCTCCTCTCCTTCACTCACCAGTTCCAAATATCTGAATATCCCAACTGCCCCCACCTGAAGTCAAGTGAACTTCCTCTGTTGACTGAGCTGCTATATAATGGTCTACTGATGAGTCTGTCTGCTTACACTCTTGTTGCTCCAGTCCGGTCTATGTGAAGCAATTACAGTAACTTTTTCAAAGCGTGAATTAGATCCTCTCACTCCCCTGCTTTAAAATATGTACTGGCTCCTTGCTGTGAAATAAATCAAACTCGTTACACTTGTGTGGTCTCACTCTTCCTGACTCATGTTCCACACCCACTTTTTGCTCACCATATTCTTGCCTTCTTCAGCCACTCGAGGGCCCCACTTCAGTCACTTCCTGGCCTCAGGGCCTTTGCACATGCACATGCTGTTCCCTCAACGTGGAAAACTCTTTCCACTCTGTGTGTGATGGCTCTATTCACCCTTTGGTCTTAAGTTAATTGTCATATCTTCAGAGAGGCCTTTCATGACCACCCAATCCTAAGAAAATTTCCATCATTCTCTCTCAATAGTGCCCTGTTTTCCTGTCTATCATAATTATATTTGATTTTATTTCTCTTTTCTGGGGTATTTTATGACTTGCTCTTTAGATGGAATCTTCACAGGAGAAATTTTTATTTAGGATTTCAATGAAGTTAGAAAAATAGACTCTATCACCAGAGTGGCAACTATGATTTCAAGTAACACAGGCTTTATATTCACCAATATTTCATAGTTTCCCTTGTGCCCTTATTTGCATAATTCCTATCTTTTCCACAGGACTGGAGGCTTCACTGTAAGCACAGTGCCTCCTCAGGACTCTCACGATGTATAACAGCAAAAACCCCTTATCTTTTCCTAATATCGAATATCATCATGACATTTTTAAATAAACTATTTCTATTATATACATCTAGAAAAGTGAAAAGATTATAAGCACACCAACTATATATATATCCATGCTGCCACCCAGATCAAGAAACAGAACATTTCAGGATTCCACAAGCTCCTTTGGCCTCCTCCCTCCTACTACTGCTGTCCTCAAAAATTACCACTGTGTTAACTTGTAAATATCAGAGCACTTTGGCCCTTCTTTGAGCTTTATAGAAATGGGATCATACATGATGCACTGCTTTGGGTCTGGTTTCCTTCTTTCATGACTGCGAGAGTCATTTTTTTTGTTGTTGCACGTAGAAAGAGTTAACTCATTTTATCATTATATTGTATTTCACTGTCACTTGGCTCTGAATGTTTTCACTTTAAGTTTTTCTAGTGGGTTTAATAGTGGAATCTCTAATTTCCATTTCCCTGATGACTATTTAGATTGAGTGTGTTTTGTGGCTACCTGCTAAAAATCTCTTGCCCATTTTCTCCTAGAGCTGTTCCTTTTCTTATTGATGTATGGAGTTGTTTGTATATTGCTAGATAGGAGTGCCTGTGTTTCTTCTGGTTCTGTGTATTGCAAATAATCTGCTCCCACTTTGAGGCATGGCTTTTTCCTTAATGGGAAAAGACTTCCTTAACAGTATTGTGTGATAGAAATAAGTTCTTAATTTTATCATGGTGTAATAGAATCAGTATCTTCTCTGAGAGTTAGAACTTTTTGTGTCCTATATAGGAAATCTTTTGCCTAACCTAAGGCCATAAATAGAACACATTCTCGTAGGTTATCATCTATAAGAATGCTACTAAAAGCGAGGTCCATGGAATAATGCCTGTCTGCAAAATGTTTGTTACAGGCTTATGATGAAATAAACATATTGAAAGCAAGTGCTAAGAAACTTAACGACAGCCAAGCAGCATTTGATTTAATTTGACTGAAGTATCCGTCTGTGATGGATTAGAATGTTTTTAAAAAAGATCATTCACCACAGATATTTTAAAATATTATTTTCAAATATAAAGTTTGGTAGTAACTTCACATTTGGATCTACAAACCACATAAACAATTTTCATGTCCACTGTAGAAACAGGTAAAAATTCTTTATTTTTTTAACCCATTGTTTTGTAGTTCAGTCTTTGCCACAAGCCAAGTGTCTGTGTGAATGTGATTCTGCAACTGGTCTCAAATTCTGTTTCATCAACCCATTTGGCTATTTGTGCAAATACCACACAATCTTAATTATTGTAGCTTTATAAATCTCCCTATCTGGTAGGATATATCTTTCAACTTTATTAATCTTTTTCAAGACTATCTTGGCTATTTTTTAATTCTGGCATTTTTAATATATATTTTCCAACACATTTGCAGTATATTTTTTTATTATTATTATTTGAGACAGAGTGTCACACTGTTGCTCAGGCTAGAGTACAGTGGCAAAATCTCGGCCCACTACAACCTCTGCCTCCTGGGTTCAAGCAATTTTCCTGCCTCAGCCTCCAGAGTAGCTGGGTAACAGGCATGCACCACCACACCCAGCTAATTTTTGTATTTTTAGTAGAGACATGATTTCACTATGTTGGCTAGGCTGGTCTTGAACTCCTGAGCTCAAGTGATCTGCCCACTTCAGCCTCCCAAAAGGATTACAGGCATAAGCCACCGAGCCCAGCCTGTAGCATAATTTAGAATTCGCTTGTCAACCTCCACCAAAACCCATGCTGCAATTTTTAAAATGTGATTGCAGTGAATTTACAGAATATGATTATACATTCAAAGTATTTTTATACATTCAAAGTATTATACATTCAGAAAACTTTCATCCAGTAAATTATTTTCTATTATTTCATAATAATGTTTTGTGCCTGAATGCTAAAAGTGTAAAGTCTATATTTGGTCTGATTTTAAAGGCGCCTCCATAATTAGATGAATCTTATTATATCTTTTTTTTTTTGCACTAATCCTTCTGTACCAGCAAGAAGAGCCTCCTAACAGTTTCACACCACGTTCATTTCCATCCTCTCTTATGTGCCTTTCCACACACATTTACATTTATAGTGCCTCCCACCTACTCCTGTTGCCATTCCAAATTTTCAAACTCTGTCTCCTCGAAGTCCTGGTTAGATCTCATTTAACCTACTTTCCACCAACTGTATCCCACAATCAGATTTCTGTTTTCTGTCTGATGTGTTGGTAACTCTTACCAGTACTGCCTCATTAAATCTCAGTGGATTTGATCAATCAGGTGTACGCTTAATTATTAGCTTCCATTTAAAATTCACAATGTTCTAAAATAGCTCTCTGAATGTTCTGCAGTCAGTGATAAAGGAATTAGGAAAATCTAAAACTGTTCATTTAAATCTTTTTTTTTTTTTTTTTGAGACAGAGTTTGGGTCTGTCACCCAGGCTGGATGGAGTGCAGCAGTGCAATTTCAGCTCACTGCAGCCTCTGCCCCCACCTGAGTTCAAGTGATTCTTCTGCCTTAGCCTCCCAAGTAGCTGGGATTACAGGCTTGCACCAGCATGCCCAGCTAATTTTTCTATTTTTAGTAGAGATGAGGTTTCGCCATGTTGGCCACGCTGGTCTCGAACTCCAGACTGCAGGTGATCCACTCGCCTCAACCTCTCAAAGTGCTGGGAGTACAGGTATGAGCTACTGTGCCCAGCCTCACTTAAATCTTGTTAGAGGCAGTCTGCTCCACTCATGCTTGAGTTTACTCTTAAAGGAGAGTGGGCATTTTTGAAAGATAGCTAGAGTTTTTAACTTCAAGATCCAACAGCCAGGCTCAGGGGGTATGAGATTTTCTTTTGGGGTCATAAAAATGTTTTTGAACCAGATAGAGACAGCAATTGTACAACATTGTGAATGTACTAAAATCACTAAATTGTACAATTTAAAATGGTTAATTGTATGTTATGTGAATTTCACCTCAATTAAAAAAACTTCAGCCACCAAATATGTTTTCAGTCCCATAACTCTAAGAGCTGGTGACCAGCTGCTCCCTGACAATATATGATTCAAGATAAGGAGAAAGAGATGAAATGCATGCCTTTGGTTTTCTGATTTGTAATTGCAAACTTGGCATGTGTGTGAAAAACTTGGCTTGTGCTTACAGAAGTACCATGAGCTTCTCTAACATGAAAAACTCTTTAATAGTAAGGGCGAACAGAAACATGGACCTTATGTTATGTGACTTTCAGAACTATCTACATGCACAGGTGTTTTTTTGTTGCTTGTTTTTTGTTTTTGTTTTGTTTGTTTTGTTTTGTTTTGAGATGGAGTCTTGCTCTGTCAGCCAGGCTGAAGTGCAATGGAGCCATCTCAGCTCATTGCAACCTCCACCTTCCAGGTTCAAGCAATTCTTCTGTCTCAGCCTCCGGAGTAGCTGGGACTACAGGTGTGTGTCACCATGCCCGGCTAATTTTTGTAGTTTTAGTAGAGACAGGGTTTCACCATGTTGGCTAGGCTGGAATGTTTCCTTTATTTATTTATTTTTTATTTTTATTTTTTGAGACAGAGTCTTGCTCTGTCATCAGGCTCCAGGCTGGAGTGCAGTGGCAAGATCTTGGCTCACTGCAACCTCCACCTTCTGGATTCAAGCAATTCTCCTGCCTCAGCCTCCCAAGTAGCTGGGACTACAGGCACGCGCCACCATGCCCAGCTAATTTTTTTATTTTTTAGTAGAGACGGGGTTTTACCATGTTGGCCAGGATGGTCTTGATCTCTTGACCTCATGATCGCCCGCCTCAGCCTCCCAAAGTGCTGGGATTACAGGCATGAGCCACCGCGCCCGGCCTTTTTTTTTTCTTTTTTAAGCCTAAAGCACCTGGTATTCCTGGGCAGTCTCCTAACCAAGTACTAACCACACCCAACCCTGCTTAGCTTTCAGTTCAGGTAAGAGACCACAGTTCTTCTTGCATTCTATTTTAGTTGTTACGTATATGAAAAAACAAAAACAAAATAACCATAGAGCTCTGTGTCCTATGTATCACAGAGCTTAGTGTGGCAACACATGTCCCCAATGCATCAGATGCCCATGATAAAGAAGGTTGCAATGACAGAGGGTTTAACAGTCAGAACAACAGCCACAAATCAGCTCATGAACTGCATTCAAGTCTTAAAATGAAATCTATAAGACAGCCAGGCGAGGTGGCTCACACCTGTAATCCCAGCACTTTGGGAGGCCGAGGCAGGCGGACCACCTGAGACCAGGAGTTCAAGACCAGCCTGGCCAACATGGTGAAACCATGTCTCTACTGAAAATACAAAGATTAGCCCGGCATGGTGGCAAGCACCTGTAACCCCAGCTACTGGGGAGGCTGAGGCAGGAGAGTTGCTTGAACCTGGGAGGTGGAGTTTGCAGTGAGCCAAGATGGCACCACTGCATTCCAGCCTGGGCAACAGAGTGAGACTCTGTCTAAAAAAAAAAAAAAAAAAAAAAAAAAAAGAAAGAAAAAAGAAAGAAAATGAAATCTATAAGACAACTTAGAGAGGATAACCAAAAAGGCACAGCATTCCACACAAATTCAGTGGTTTAGACAAATGTTTAAAGAAAAAAGTTAGGATTAGGTTACCTCCTTAAAAAAAACATGAATACTTCCAAAAGAGTATTGGGAAAGAAGTAAAAAGTAAAGTATTTCTATTACTTTTTAGGAAACATAAAAAAGCATGCTGGACTTCCTCACGCCCATTCAGTTGAAATTTAGAAATAGTAATTCCATAATAGTGCTTGAAATTTTTAAGTACCATTCCAGAAGCGAAGAACAGATTTAGATACTGTGATACCACCAGCTTTTCATGTAGGCAGCTGTGTTCCAGAACTTGTAGAACCAAGGCACAGACAGCAAAAGGTAGCAAAAATAGCTCAGATGAAAAATGTTAGCTATATGATGATACACAAAATTATACTAAATTATAAATTATTGCTACTTTCTTCCCTCCCATTAGAACATTAATATAATGGCGAAGCCCCAATGACTGGTAATCTTCATTAAATTAGCTGTACCTCCTTACTGCTGTGACACCTAGCACGACTACTGCCAACTTAGGGACAAAAGTCATGTGGTTGACCTTAATGACAAGAAAAGTTACAGATTCACTTCTAATTTATAATTCTCAGAATGTGTAATTTAGAGTTGTCTCCATTAAATCCATTAAAATGAAATCTATTAGACAGCTGGGCGTGGTGGTTCACACCTGTAATCCCAGCACTTTGGGAGGCCAAGGCAGGTAGATCACCTGAGGTCAGGAGTTCGAGACCAGCCTGGCCGACATGGTGAAACTACATCTCTACTAAAAGTACAAAAATTAGCCTGGCGTGGTAGCAAGCACCTGTAATCTGAACAGAATCATCCTTTCTCTCCACATTCAGTTTATGTGTGTTTTCTTCTAATGCCCAAGTGACAGGGTGGTGGTGCTGATTGGAAGCTAACTTGCATTCTTAGTTAGGAACTCCAGAAGGGCAGAGCAGGCCACTAGGATCCTGTTTTCATGAAGCTTCTAAATCTTGTGGGAGCCGGTGATGGGTCTTTGGGAACTGTGGGCAGCCACCCGGGCCGTAAGAATAGGGGGCTTGAACAAAGGTGGAGATGTCCTGAAGCTAGAGAGAGGGTCAAACTGCTTAAACCTTCTGCAACATTGGTGTCTGATCATCTGAGTGAGTGACCCGCACATGCACTCTAATCCAGCCCTTGCATAATTTACACTATTTTCCTTTTGAATGCTTAAAGAACAGGGCCTTTTACAGAACAGCCATCAAGGTTGGCATGAGGAGCACATACTCAAGCTGAAGGAAGCTCTCTGGCCCCTTCCAATACAGTGAAGCAGCAGTGCCGGCAACAGCTGAACAGACAGAACCGCAGGAGCAAAGAAGACCTAAGAGCCCCAGGGAGCACACTGGAGCAAAAGGGACACCCTTCAGATCAGAAAGAAGTGGCTGCTGGCAACAGAAAACTGGGGTGCCAGCTACAGAGAACTGAGAGACACTGAGGCCCCTTTAGAAAGGAAAGGGGCTTGGGAGACTAGCAGTCTAGTGATTAAAATGGGGGGGAGCTCAGAGGTAAATGGCACTGGCATAGTCCCCCAAGCCCCTGACTGTCCTCATGCTTGGTCTGGTCTAGGCTAACAAGGGTTAATTCTCATTTTGTGCTCTGATAGCGCCCTCTGCAAATCTGGAGGAGGATGGGTGACCTTGGGATAGCAAAAGACCTACAGAAGATAGTTTTTTTTCTTTTTTTACCAAAATAAGGCCTAAAAATGGACACTACTCACTTTGATCTCTATCTTCACAAGTTACAAGAGTGTAAAAAACCTGAAACCACTATTTCTCAATATGCTGTCTCTAGATGAAATGTTCTCATTTTTGTGTTAGACTGAAAGATCAGATTCTTGCAAAAGAATGCAACTTTATCTGACTGTACATATGAACAAGCAGTGTATTCCAAGATGATCCTGCTTCCAAAACTAGACAGATATAAAGTAGAAGAAAGAAAAGTACAAGGTGTCACTCTTAAAGCTGATAAGTTACCCTGTCTTTGATAAACACACTTACCATACCATGCTTTCATAGCTCTTAAATTAACATCTAAAAATATCTTTCTTTCCTCCTGCCTTTTGAAGGGTTGTCACATGTTCCTGGATGCTTATCCCAGCCACGCAGCATTTTCCTACATCACGGTGATGAATATGTAGGAGAAGGCGTGCCTCAGTATCCTTAGACCCCAGTTACACCAAATCATTATAATTTTAGTAGTATACCTCATCACATTGCCAAAGTATTAACTGGATTTTAATTTCTGAACATTTCTTAGCATGCATTTTAAATTGGCATACTTTAACACTATCTTTCTGCATTAGATTAATGATCTCTGTTTCTCATGTAAAGCTAATGTTTTGCCTAGTTTAACCTTTTAAAAAATAATTTAAATCAGGAACAATCATAAGAAATGACTTAGAACTTATCTTTCAAATGCTTCTTTGCTCACTGAAGTCTGAGACATATTTTCTGAAGTAATAATGGAGGGGCACTCCCTGACTAAGTTTCTTCAGACAACAATATCCAGAAAAGGTAGATTTGGAGTATATTTTATCCTTACAATAATGGCTCACAAGACAATCAAAATAATCAAGCAACTCTAAGGAAACACACTTTGTGTAATCATAGTTAAAAAGTAACATCAATGCATGTAGCTTTTTTGAATTAGATTCAAGGTCTGAATCTCTCTCTCTCTCTCTCAGATCCCTCCCTAAAGCTGTAGTAAACGACCACCATTAGGACTCTTGTTTACTCTGGAAGAACTGATAAAAAAAAAAAAAAAAAAAGTAAACTGGCTGTCTCAAACACATGCCTGACAGGCCAACCAGTCACAAGAGTGCCTTTATTTAATCAAGCAGGAAACTGAAGTCATGGCTATTTGTACCTGATGTTCAGCCATCTGGCTTTCTGGACTCCTGCCGGGTGCTGGGTTCTCACTGAGTTTCAGCTCAACGGCCTCCATCTTCGTAGAGATGGACTGGAGGGAGTCCTGGTACTTCTGCTGGCGTTCCAAAGCTTCATAGAGTGTGCGTTGCTTCTCGCTGATCTACACAAGAAAAGGGATATTACCAAATGCTTCCCAGCCCCTTATCTTTCAGATTACAACATTTCTTTCTTCAGTGCTTTACCTCTGTGGCCCAACACAGGGCACTGGACTGTGGACTGGATGTGTAAACTCTCTGCGTGTATTTCATAAGACAATCGCTAAGGTAACTGGTGTCTGGTGGGCATAAACAAGCCCACCTTGAAGACTTACCACATTCTTTAAGGTCTCCCAAGAACGCTGCAAATCACCCAGTTTGGCAGTAGCAGATGGTTCCAATCCTGGTTCATAGAACTCCTGTGATGTCGACGTGCTGGGGTGAATCTTTGCAGCATCTGTCTGCAACCTCTCAGCAGACAAGGCTTGGTAATATGCAATGTCCTGTGAGCGCAAAGCACAGTGTTGAATTCAAAAGGAAGACAAAGTCTAGATGAATATGCTGTGGGTACTGTTGGTCATGTGAAGAAAAGGTTTCTGATCTACAACTCTCACAGGGCCCTACAAACTAGTCAGTTAGTAAACTCTTGTGACAAGAAAAATTTAAAGACTGAATCAAAGCATACTATACTTGTTTCAGAGTTTTGGTTTGTATATATCAAAAAACAACTTTACCAATCTTTCAAGTTGCCAAAACTCATTCTTATTTTATATTTGTTAAATGAAAATACAAAGGATTTAAGCAGTACACATTTATTTAAAGATTGATTAGAATAGCAAAAAAAGAGACTCTCAATGATCTAGTTCCTAAAATGTTGCTAAATATATTCATTAAATTTTAAATAATTTAAAAAATGACTTGACTTAGATAAAATTAAATCTGCATAGGCAGCCAGATCTTCACTATTTGTGGGTTCATTATTTGCAGAATTAATTTAAATATTTTGATATTAAATAAGAAAAATATAATGGGGAGGTTAAAACTACTCTATGAAACAAATAATACAAATGTTTTCTTCTATTCATTTTCTCAAAGTATAAACACACACACACAAAGTGAATGATGAAATATCATGCTTTAACATGTTTTAAATCTATTGTATTATAAGTAACATTACATATATTATTTGTATTGATAAAATTTACTATATCAAGAGATATAGTAAAGATATAGCAAGAGATATAGTAAAGATGGTTTTCAATTTTTTCTATGTTTATCTGTATTTCTGTAGAAATTTAATTGGGGGAGTAATTCCAATGATAAAGTTCACTGTTTTTGCAGTTTTACTGTTGAAGGGAATTATGTCAACTTAAAATACCTGAGTCTTATTCATAATCATGTATTGGTAAAAAGTACTGAGGGAGGCTCCAGCCATCTGAGAAACAAACATAGCAGTGTCATCCAGTAGAAAGAATTCCAACTGCGACAGCTGAGATTCTAGTGAAATTCTCCTCCTGTGTAGCTATATAATGGGAGCAAATAACTTACTCTTGCACATTGGTTCACTCACTCGTCCAATCTTGAGTGGAATTGAGGATTATATGAAATAATATTTGAGTGACAATGACACCTTCTACCGATTTTGCTGTTGTTGCTGAGGCCTCCAGCATTTACTGGATAAGTCCCCAACATTTACTGATGACATTGGAATATGGAGACTGCTTCCTCTTCATTCCTAACCCTGTCACTGTCTTGAGTGGATTACTCCTCATGTCCTTAATAGGTTTAGATCCATTGATCCTCACTCACTTCTACCCCGCTTCAGTCCTCCACACCCTTGAATGCTATCATCACTCAATTGGACTTGTAGCTATGTCTAAAGTTACTGAAACTCCTTTCTTCCCAAGACGCTTGTTTCTCTCGCTTTTTTAACCTTTACTTCACCCACTTGGAAAACCACAAACATGACTCAATCCAGCTTTTCTTTCCAGAGTGCATCTATGTATGTGTGTGTGTTATTCACAAAGACACACACACACACACACACACACACACACACACACACACACACAATCCAAGCTGTCAAGGAGCTACTACTACAACTTCTCAAATTTTCAAAAGTCTGTCTATATTCACACTCACCCTTATCTCATGCTTGCCAGTTTTACTGCTTACGCCTGACTCTCCCACAGCTTCTGAGAATCCCATAAACTGCTTTTTCAAGAACCTTGGTCTATTAATATCCTCTTCTACTTTGCTGACTTTCTCTCTTCATGCAAAAACACCTAAACACATTGTTTCTTTTTTTTATTTGTTTTCTTGAAGGATGTCACATTTGTTTTAAAGTCCACAATTCACAACGATGGATCATCACACGTGAATGCACTTGCACACACAGGCTTCATCCTCATTTCTTTGTTTTCTCTCTTTCGTTTCATGAGCCAACTTCTGAAAGGGTGATTTTCACATGGGACTTTCTCACCCTCGATCCACTTCTAAATTCCAATTTGGGCTTTCATCCTGATGACTGTAGAGCTTGCTCTCACCAGCTTCTTTTCCATGACAAAAAGTGATGTATTTCCATCCCTTCCCTTGCCAGACCTCTAAGTAGCATTCAATGGCACTGACCACCCCTTTCTAGAAACATTTTTTAAAAAATCTCTCTGTTCTCCTCTCAGCTTTCTAGTTATTCATGCTTTCTCTTTTGTAGTTTGTTTTCCACTCACTCATCAACACTAGTGAGTTGATAAGCTCCAGGCTCACATATCCAGATGTTCATGCAGATCCTGTAGGCTCTTCAGACTCAACATTTCCAAAAGGAACCGATTTAGAAAAAAACAATAAAGTGTTATCCTTCTTGCAATAAATGGAATTTCTTCTCACCTAAGCTATAAACTTGGGATTTATTCCTGATTTCTCCTCTCCCTTACCATCCACTGCTTATGGGAGGATGGAGTGCTAGTGACGCATATCCTGGCCACAGCCTTCGTTCAAGTTCTCATTACAGGAACAACTTCCTAACTCAAAAGTTGCAAACTGGCAGCCTGTGGGCTGCCTCTGACCTGCACACACTTAGTGTGGCTTACACAGTGTTTTACATTATTTAAAATCTCTTTTCTTGAAGATGGAGAGATTTCATTAAAATTCACATTCATAGTTTGTTTTGCAAACCACAAGGTATGGTAACACTGGGTCCTGTGTCTTTGTGGTTAAAGTAATGCTAACAGAGAAGACATCACCTCATTTCTGTGGAGCAGGAGCTGTCCAGGTCTCTTAGTCCCTCCAGGCCTGTTTCTCTCATTTTTATCACCAGGGTGGACCCCACATGAGACTGCGCAACTTCTGTGTCTAACGGCTCCCCTGGTTCTGAATTTGCACACTTCCATTCTCCTGTCCACATGGATCCAGAAGTATCAGTTCTAAAACTCAGTTCTGTACACGGCTTCTAGTTAAATTCCCTCGATGGTTAAATAGTAGCTTCTGGAGGAAGCTGAAATTCCTTCGTGCGGCATTCAGGGCCTCCATGATACGGTTCCCATATCACTGTCTGTCTCATTTCTCTCTCTCCTCCTCCTCCAATGTTTCTCCAATTATACTGAAACTATTTGCATAGTTTCTCCAATTATAATGAAACAACTTGCACTGTTTTTGCAGTCATATTATGGAAGGAAATTATGTCAACTTGAAATACCTGCGTCTTATTGATAATCAAGTATTAGTAAAAAGTATTGAAGAAGGCTCCAGCCATCTGAGAAACAAATGTAGCAGTGTCATGCAGTAGAATGATTTCAGACTGGGACAGCTGAGACTCTAGCGAAATTTACCAATTTTTCTTCCTGCCTTCACAGCTTCCCACAGGTGGTTTCTTCCGCCTGAAAAACTTCTCACATGACCCAACTACACTCCACCTGCCTAACTGTGCTCCTCCCTTAAAACTAAAGGGGGCCATCCTTGACCTCTGCCTGAACCCCAGTCAGTGTAGGTGCTTATTCTAGGTTCTCCCACAACACTGTGCTGCCCTCGGCCATACCACCTGCCACCCTCTATTGTAAGTATGTGCCTGTTCTCACTCACACTCTAAGCTCCCTAAGGGCTGTCTAGGTCAGTGCTTTCAGGCTTTCATCCTGAGCACATTGTGGAGTGTTCTGCAAATAACAGGCAACCCTATATGTTCATAATAAATCATGCTTGCAAATGCACTTTTCTAAATTCTATTATTTTATATACATGTAAGATAATACTATTACTGTCCACAAGGAATAGCAGGAGCATCTTTAAATGGTGTAAACATTTTACATTAAATACTGTATTATAAATACAGAAGGCCCCTACAACAGCTAGAGTAAAATAAATTTATTACAAATAATTTTTTTCTGGCAGTCTGTGTGTGTGTGTTTGTGTGTGGCTCATGCCTACAGATAGGAATGACAACTCCTGGTTTCTTAAAATGATTTGAAAATATGTCACCTTTTACAGATGAATAATTTCTATTTATTTGAGGTGCATATATAAATTCAATTAAATCACTCAGTGCTATAAATAACTACTAAAGTCAATACTTGATGTAGTGAGGAGTCACTGTTAAAAATACATTTCTCATTGCCTATGTGCCTAAGTTATAAACGTTATTATGAGTAGATTCCTAAGGAAATAAATTTGGACAATTATAGCTACTATTTGATCAGTATTTTCTAGTTTAAAAAGCACTTTCATGATTAATGTCACATTTCATTTTCACAATTTTGTGAATTAAGTGGTATTGCTTCCCACTTACAAATGAGGATATCAAGGGACTTCCCAGATGCACTCAGCTTAGAGGAGGAAGGGCTGCAACTCAGTGTGAGCTTTTGACTTGGAGGACTATGACTTTCCCATTATACTCTGTCTCGCCCTTTTCCAATCTATTCCTCTCTCAACTCCTCTGCAGAGTCTAAGCCTTGGCTCACTTCTAAGGGGAATCGAGAAGCCTGCAGCAAAATCTGGGAATGCCTCAGTATTTCTACCTTCAAGTAAACTAAATTGTTATTACAGCTTAGCTAATAGCTACTGTCAGAGACAGAATACACTGACTGTGAGTGGGACCAGGTAGTTATATAACAGAGATCTACTTGCAAGAAGAGCAAGCACAAAACCTTTTTTTAAATAGCTGTGATTTTATAAAGCAGTTCTACTTGGCTGCTCCCTGAAACAGCTGTACACATTCTGTGCACAAAACTTAGGGTTTCCAATCTGAAAACTGAAACTTAAGAGGATGCTACATGTCCTCCTCAGTGTCAAGAGACAATTTTGTAAATCCAGTGCATCACTGGTCATGGTGTCATATATTTTCACTGTCTTCTAACTTACATTACTATAGAAAAATAACATGTGGCCGTAATGATGGGGTAGATTTGTTTGAGGAACACAAAGCATCATACATTTGCTTTTTAACAGCTTCCTCAGAGTAAAGCTGTCTGTCTTAAATAAGTAAAGGCATTTTCCCCTGCTTTACAGCATCACATGTTAAGTATTTTAGATTAACAATGCCATTTAACTGATGTTTTCGTGTGACTAGGAGAGAGGGGAGGAATTAAAACCAAGCCTAATCTCACTGAGTTTTAGGATTTGACTAAGCTTCATGGTTAATGTCAAGAAATAATACAGAAATGTTTGCATATTTCATCATTTTTTGGGCACTTTCATGTATACATTGACACTTTACAAGAAGTAGCATGGAGATTTGCAAGTTTGGAAAAGTTATATTCCTTCTACAAAGTTAATTTGAAGTAAGTATTTATTATTCAGTTTGAAAAATGTAAGACCCTAAAGCATATTATATAGAATATTTTTTTTCTATATAATCAGCTGACTATAGCTCAATTTCTCTAATAACATCTGTAACCATAGGGAAGGACAAGTCATCAAAGAATGAGTAATACATATTTTTAAATCAGAATTTGGAGAAGAGTTTCCCAAATCCCCCATGGCTCCCTGAACTTCTCTTTTTTTGTCACTGTTCTTAGTTTCCTCTGATCACATTGTTGTTATCTGTTCCATGTCTACCTTTTTCTCTGGATTGTCAGGGCCTTGCAGGTAGAACCATGCTGCCTCCTTCTCAGCTGCATCCTCAGAAACCAGCACAAGGTTTCACGCTGAGCAGGTGTCAGAATGTATTTGATGGACTCAGAATGGATGAGTTGATAATTTCCCTAGAGATTTCCTGATTTTTACCAAGAGAATTGTGTAATAGTATTAACTAAAGGTTTCATCACTTTTATGTTCCTTTTTTTATGAGAGGGATTCTCTTTATTACAGAAATCCTGTGATAGTCTGAATACTTCTGCTTTAAAATAAAAGTAATATAATTGAATTATAATACAGGTCATAAAACATTTGCTCTAACACTTCTACCTTAATAAATACATATCAACTTCTTTGAAAAAAACATATTTTCATAGGATAGTTTACATTTTTTAGTTGTCCTCACTAAAAAATAAAACACCAAAAGCATTGACAACAAAAGCCAAAGTAGACAAATGGGACCTAATCAAACTCCACAGCTTCTGCACAGCAAAGGAAACAGTCATTAGAGTGAATCGCCAACCAACAGAACGGGAGAAAATAAAGAATTTCTTAACACGCATTAAAAGCTTTTGCTTACTGTAATGGCATCTTTTTGATTTCTATCCAATATTTGACATAAAACCTTTCTGAGATTTAATTTAGTATAATCTACATTTAATAAGCATGATAAAAAGCTTCTTATAACAAAAAGGTTATTTTATTTTCCTCATTTTATAGGAAATAAAATTTAAGGTTATTGAAAGACAAGTTAAACATCCAAACCCACTAGGCATTCCAGTATAAATACTGGCAGACATTCCTTTTTTTTTTTTTTTTTTTTGAGACAGAGTCTTGCTTTGTCGCCCAGGCTGGAGTACATTGGTGCGATATAGGCTCACCGCAACCTTCCCCTCCCGGATTCAGGCAACTCTCCTGACTCAGCCTCCCGAGTAGCTGGGATTACAGGCAGTTAATGTTTGAATTTTTAGTAGAGACGGAGTTTCACCATCTTGGCCAGGCTGGTCTTGAACTCCTGACCTCGTGATCTGCCCGACTTGGCCTCCCAAAGTGTTGGAATTACAGATGTAAGCCACTGCACCCGGCCCTAACATTCCTTAAATTGGTAAACAAGCCATAAATAAAGAAGTCTGACATAATAAACAGAAGTTTCGCATCTTCAAAATCTGAGCTGGTAAATGCTAACACTACATTTAATGCATGTTAAAAAGCCATGTTATTTTACAATGGTGATACAGATCTTTCATTTTCTGTTGGATGCAGAACTCCATTCCAGATAATTGCTAGAAATGGAGGCAAAAACACCTTAAAACAGGTCCTTCTGGGCTATCATTCCTGTGACTCAATTTTTGCTCATGTCATTTTCTGTAGCCCAGGAGAGGAGATGACATACTGAGACACATGACAATCATAGTTTGTGCAACTATAAGACCCAATGGTGTGTCCCTGGAACCAAATGCAACAGTCTGAGATTCATACCCACAGTCTAATGAAAACAGAGAATGGAGTCCTGCATCTGCCCAGAGATTATTGCTAGAGGAATGCCAAGTGGGAGGTACCTGGTTAACAGAAGCATCTGTATTAGCCACAGGTGAAGGGGAGCGACAGGCAGGTGGAGAGGAAATCTCACTGTTGGTTCCCTCCTCCCCAGACTCCTCAGTGACCGGTGACAGCAAAGTGTGACAGCGACCTGCAGTCATCTGCCACGTAAAATGTAACCCAAAGGACATGAAAATCAATTAGGTGTGTTAACATAAGTCCTGTTCAGGCACAGGCCAAAACAGAGATAATTATAAAACAAAGGTTAGAATTCCTGGGACCCAAATTCACATATTAATCCTGTGTTAGTATTTAAAACTTCTGTCTTCAAGAGAATATGATACTAGTAATCATTTGTAAAACAATCAGGGATGGGATGGGGGTGCATATCACATTGAAGAGTTTTTTTGTTGATTAAATACTTCATTATTTTCCTGTCTTTGGATAGTTTGTGGTTTTATAAATAACTGGAAAATCATGAATCATACAAATGAGGAAAGGTCTATGAAATAAAGCTTGGTCTTTCGTGGACATCTCAAGTTTCAAATATTGTAGTGAGATTAATGCACCCAAAGTACAATATTGGTAAATGGGCCCAGGTATGGTTATTCATTATCTGAGGCACAGCACATATGAGGGAAAATACACAGCACTGGAAAATATTGTAGTCACCAAAATACTCAATGCATTTTAGGTGTCAAGTACATAGGAAAATAGTAGTGCAGAAAAGAAAATAATAAAGTTGATTTATTTTAACCCAAAGCTAAGCTTTAGATTGTCTATTTTCATATTTTTTCTCACAATAGCTGTTCTTCTCAATTGTATTAAGCATTTATACAATACAGTACATGCACATATGTAGTTAGCTAGTTAGCCTGGAAAACACAACTAAATATATGTGCCATGAATTTACCATTCCCCAGGCAACTAAAACACTGTGCAAATAAGTTATTGTTTAAAGCTCAGAGCCTTTCAGTACTCTTGCGAAATTATAAACAAATGCAGGGCAGACCTCTGACATGTTAAGTAATTCAGCTGTCTCCAGCAAACAGTTTCATTTTAACTGTCATTGTTTACAGTGTCAAAGATTGGCCCCCGCCCAAAAGTAGTCAAAGAGAGTTAAGGAAACTGTTCCTCCCTCTGAATCTGCAAGATCGAAGGCTGGTCCCTGAAACCGACAGAGAGGGAACATGGAGCCACTCGCCAGGCTCCAAAGAGCAAAGCCACGTAAACTGACTGGATCCTTACCATGACCACAGAGGGGTGGGCCGAAGGCGCGGGGAGGAGCTCCCCATCCAGGTCCTCAGTCCCTTCCGCCAGCCCCTCGACCTCGGTCACCGTCAGCAGCATGGTGGCGTGCTTGGCTTTCATCGTCAGCATCTTGCACTTGGAATTTAAAGAGGCGATCTGCTCCTGGTAGCCCTTGATTTTCTGCGCCAGCTCCTGAGGAAACATTTCCCCCACCAGGGTGTCAGAGCAGCATCAAAAGGAAACAGAAGTAGTAGCGTTCATCTTCCTGCAGGGCGGGCCAATGAGCGCGCAGAGCCCCGTGGGCCCGGGAGGCAGGATGTGGAGGCGGCGAGTCCCCCTGCATCTCGCCACCAAGCCAGACCGCAGGCTGCGCGGCGCGGCGCAGGCACAGCCGAAGTACCCGAGCCCGCGTCCCCGCGTCCGCGCAAAAGGAAACATGAGGGGATGACGCTGAATGAATGGTTTCTAATCGCGAGAGAGGCCCTATACGGAATCATGAACTTCCGCAACATTAAGAACTGACAACTTTCTTAAAAAGCGGAAAGCATCCGAAATGTACCAGATGGTTCATGCCATGGAAATTAGATCATGTGATGGCTAAAACCACACCAAAAAAAAAAAAAAAAAAAAAAATGCAATGCTCAGCTCTTACACTGCTGAGAACATTCAACAGAGATGACAGTCATTTATTTTACACAGGGTCACATAGTCAATGGCCTGTCTGTTCCTGTGATACTAGGAAGTTTTTTTTTTTCTAGATAAGCTAGATATTGCATATGAAACCTTAATTTTTAAATGCAGATTAGCCCCAAATAACATTTTGTAGAGTCATCAAATTTTCTCTCACACACTTCATCGTGTCTCAAATGTTGCTGAGCTTTTAACTTGAAGTGCGGTTCAAATTTAATGGCTTTTAATTTCATTTGTTTTGAAAAAAAAATTTCTTTGTTTTTGTTTTGGAGCAGGCAAAAATGAAAACAAAATATTATGAGAGATAAAGGTTTTAAAATGTTTACTAAGAGCTTATTGGAAACATATTTTGGACAGCACATAGCCCTTAAAAAGGTAACTACAGATTCATTTTAGGAGTATGGTAATTCTAAAATATTAAAGCGTTACTTTCTTATTTAAATATTTTAAATATCAAATATTAAAATTATACTTTATTGCATCTTTAAATAATGAAAATATATATTTCAAAACATGATTCCTAAAAGTACAAAACTACTATTCTTTTTCATTCTTTTTATTTGGTTGCTTTGAGAGGCTGTCATTTATTGTACACACAGAACACATTTTGTGGGCCAGGTGCAGTGGCTCACACCTGTAATCCCAGCACTTTGGGAGGCCAAGGCGGGCGGATCACTTGAGGTCAGGAGTTCAAGACCAACCTGACCAACACGATGAAACCCCGTCTCTACTAAAAATACAAAAATTAGCCAGAAATCATTTGAACCTGGGAGGTGGAGGTTGCAGTAAGCCGAGATTGTGCCACTGCACTCCAGGCTGGGTAACAGAGTGAGACCCTGTCTCAAAAAATAAAAAAATGGAGCACATTTTATAACAAAGACATGATATCTTAATGTCTGAAATAATTGTGTACATACATACATATACACTCATATATACACACACACACATATGTATACATAGTCATTCCTCAGCAACTGAGGGGCATTGGTTCTAGGAACCCTCTTAAGATACCAAAATTCACAGATGCTCAGTTTCTGACGTAAAATGGCTTAGTATTTGCATGTAACCTACGCACATCCTTCCAAATACTTTAAATCATATACCAAATCAAATACTAATAATACCTAATACAATGTAGATGTCATGTATCATAAGTAGTTGTTATACTGTACAGTTTAGGGAATAATGACAAGAAAAGAAGATGAACCTGTACAGATGCAACCATCCTTTTTTTTTCCTCAAATAGTTTCCATCCATGGTGGGTTGAATTTATGGATGCAGAACCTATTGATACCGAAGGCTGACTGTATGCAAAACACACGTGTGCACTTGCACACACTCACACATTTTGTTATTATTGTTGTTTTGTTTGTTTCTCCCTCCCAACCAAAACTGAGTGGAGGGAAAAAAAAAAAAAAAAAAAAAACAGCCCAGCAGAACTCAGCCAGCAGGCTGTCTTCTTGACACCTAAAATTATAGGAATTTTTAATACAAGGATTTAAAAAGTAGAAATCATTGCTTCTTTTCCTCTGGGGTTGCAGTTAATTAAACCTAATAGGATTTTTAAAAGCAGTGATTGAATAGCTATTTACTACATCTCATCTAGTGGCTAGCACATGGGTACTCAATAAATGACATTTATTGTAACTAGTTAATACTAGAAGAAAACATCTAGCAGATTACTGGACTCCTTGAATTTCAAGTCACCAAGCTTTCGTACAACGGTTTGCCACTGTACAAAACTTTGAGGAATCTTTATTTTTAATTATTTTATCTTTTGAGATGGAGTCTCACTCTGCCACCCAAGCTAGAGTGCAGTGGCGCAATCTTGGCTCACTGCAACCTCCATTTCCTGGGTTCGAGCCATTCTCTTGCCTCAGCCTCCCGAGTAGCTGGAATTATAGGCATGCACCACCATGCCCAGCTAATTCTTGTATTTTTAGTAGAAACGGAGTTTTATCATGCTGTCCAAGCTGGTCTCAAACTCCTGACCTCAAGTGATTTGCCCACCTTGGCCTCCCAAAGTGCTGGGATTATAGGCGTGAGCCACTGCACCTGGCAATTAAAGGAATCTATGAAACAGGGTTAATTTTAGGCCTTCACCCTTTGTAACCACATGACGGGGCACAGCTCCCTGCTGCAGTATCCTGCAAAGATGTGCCCACATTGAAAGCAAGTGACCACTTCTTAAGCTGCAATTCTCAACCTTATTGTGTACAAAACTCATTTGAATTGTTTCTTTTTTTAAAAAAAATGCAACTCTGGTCACCACTTCCAAAGGTTTTGACTTACTAGGTGTATGAGAGTCTGCATTTCATAGTTAGCCCATGTGACTCCAATGCACATGACTTTCATTGAGAAATAGTACTCTGTGACTTACTTCTGCCAGTGTAAACCTCTTATATCTCATTGCCTTTGAGGGTTGGTTATTCATGCTGTGGCCGAATCCACTAAAATGAAATGAAACACTTGATTTAATATTACCCATTCTGTTTATAAAATTTCTGAAAATGTTTATAAAGGTAGGAATTTCAGGTAGGGTGGCCACTAGAACAAAAGCAGCCCTCTGTAGCCAGTCTCCGGTATTCAGGAGCAGGCTTTCTACATCAGGTGGAAAGAAAAGAGGTGTGAGTATTCTCTCCTATGATTTAAAAGTGGTAGGATGATTTTTTTCAAATTAAATGAAACCTTTGAAAAATTATTTTAAAAAGTATGAATTCTTGCCAGACACGGTGGCTCACGCCTGTAATCCCATCACTTTGGGAGGCTGAGGAGGGCGGATCACAAGGTCAAGAGATTGAAACCATCCTGGCCAACATGGTGAAACCCTGTCTCTGCTAAAAATACAACAATTAGCTGGGCTTGGTGGCACATGCCTGTAGTCCCAGCTACTTGGGAGGCTGAGGCAGGAGAATCACTTGAACATGGGAGGTGGAGGTTGCAGTGAGCTGAGATCACACCACTGCAGCTTGGCAACAGAGCAAGATTCCCTCTCAAAAAAAAAAGTATGAATTCTTAGGCATAAATAAATGATCGGTTATTTTTAAAGTTATTTGTAAGAAAACTAGATTCACCATAAGATTGAAATTCAATTAAAACAAGACAGAGAATACAGGAAAAAGCCCTCTTCCCAATTTGTCTGTTATCATCAGTTAAGCTTTCTCCCCTTAGCGCTTTCCTTCCTGTGTTTGTTTTCTACATACAATGAAGTTCATACAGGATTGCATCATTTTTTACATGAAAATGTGTTCTAAGTCACAGTTAGTTTAAAACTAACAAATGTAACATGGATGTTCAGAACTGTGAGAAGAAAATGTGACAAAATTAACAGCTCACTGAGCCAACAGCCAGGAAGACATGGTCCATTGCTGACTGAGCTGAGTTCACTCTGATCTTGGGGGACTCATTTGTTTTCCTGGGACTTCATTATTCTCTTTTGTTTAATGAAGTAGCGCACATAGTTTCTACTACAGTGGAAGAAAAAAAATCAGAATTTGGAGACAAAGATACTAATTTCAATCAGTTGAGTCTAATTTCAATCAGTTAATAGATTTGGGAACTCAAGAAGTAACTTTTTTCTAAGCTCAGTTTTTTTTTTTTCCTTACCTCATAAGGTTGGTATAAAAAAGTGACGTAAAATTTTGTTAAGTTACTTTAAAAAACATAAAGCTCTCTGGGCATGGTGGCTCACATCTTTAATCCCAGCACTTTGGGAGGCTGAGGCAGGCATGTCACTTGAGCCCAGGAGTTCGAGACCAGCCTGGGTACCATGGTGAAACCCTGTCGCTAGAAAAAAATGCAAAAATGGGCCTGAAGTAATGGTATGTGCCTTTAATCCTAAATACTTGGAGGTTGAGGTGGGAGGATTGCCTGAGCCCAGGAAATAGAGGCTGCAGTGAGCCATGATCCCACTGTGAGCCATGAAACAGCCACTGAACTACAGCTTGGGAGATATAGCAAGACTCTGCCTCAAAAAAAAAAAAAAAAAAAGAAAAAAAGAAAAGAAAAAAAAGAAAGAAAAGAAAAGAAAAAAAAAGCACAAGTTTCTCAGGGAAAAAAACCCCATAAAACACAAAAGTTTAGTAGTAGTAATAATTGTTACTTCAGACAAGATTTAGAAAAATATCTGTACCATGATGGAAAAGTTGTTACAACAAAATTTTGGATCCTCCTAGATGGGATTAAAAATAGTTTCAAAATAAATATGTAATGTATAGTCTATATACATTATAGACTTAAACAGTGGTTTCAAAAATCTACATAACATTTTCATTTAACCATTGCATGAGAAAAATCATTAACATAGATAATGTCTACAGTTGTAGGAGTAAATATAGATAGGATATTTAAATTATTTTGTAAGTCATACATAAATGAAAATTATCAGCATTTGTATATGTCAAGAAATTAAAGAATTAATTGCATTTGGAGAAGGGGGGTGAGATTTTCATTCTTAAAAAGCAATAATTTGAATCTTTTGAGAATCTCAATATGAGTGGTTTGGAAAATTGTTGTTCTTGTGATAAAGTTAAAATAGAGCATATGGAAGGGTATACTTCATATACTCTATCATTGGTACAGAAAAAATAAGACACTCTCCTTCTAGTTATTTACCAAAATTCACAGAGCTATGAACCAGCCCCCAAGGGAAAGAGCGAACTTGACCTATATGGAATTGACAAGTCAGGAAAGGAAATTCTCTGCTAAGCTCAATCACTCAAGGACTATGATCTCTGGGACAGGGTCTGCACAGGATTGGTCAAGTCCTAAGGTCATGATGATGCCAAAGGAACAAGGAAAGAGGAACATTGGAAAACGAGGCACATGTTAGCAGGCCCAATCTGAAAATTAGCAAAGTAAACAACATGGGCCATCCTCTGATTTTGGGGAGAGGAACTGAAGTGACTAATATTTCAAAGAAGAAAATGTTTAAAATATTAAGTTATTTTTTTAAGAGAGCAATCAATGTAGCAAGGCTTTGAGCATTACTGTTTCTCGTAGGCATTAAAAGCAGGATATAGACTGTGTCTTCGTCTATATCCTTAGCATATTAACTGTGAGAATTCTGGGTGCAGGAGATGACAATCAATGAGTCCCAAGAGTTATAACGTGAACAACATGTAGAGAGGTTGTGGAATAAGGGAAGGCATGTGTTACTCAATTAGCAAAAACGGCACTCACAATGCTTAGACAGCCAAAGAGGATGCCCAGGAACTGAACACATTCAGTGCAGCACAGGGGAAACTGTTCTCTTCCATTCACCAGAAACCAAACATACACTCAAATCAAGCCAGTTTCCTGCCCTCAGTATTTTGCCTGCATTCCTCCCTCACCTCATGCCGAGAAATCTGAGCTTGTAGCTCCTGTATGTTACTGGTGGAGACAGGTTTATCCTCAATCTCTCTGTGAGCTCCTTCTATCAGTTGCTGGAGATGCTTCATTTCTTGCTCATATTGTTCATACTGCACCACAGCCTCCTTTAAAAAAAGAAAAACATAGAAAGACTTTTTTTCCTCTGTCAATAACTACATAAGTGATTCTGTAGTATAACTCCTATGTACCTGTACGGGTAGGGAATGAAGAAGTGATAGGTAAAATTCCTAGATGGTTTGGATTCTTCACTTTACTTAGATATTTCAGAGCTTTCTCTCTAAAATATTGTAGCAAAATTATTGATGGAATCAAAATAGTTAAGTGGTTAGGATTCCTCCTCTCTCTTTTCCCTACTGATATCATCCAGAAGATGGAAGATGATGGTCGGAAAATGTGAGGCAGTGTGGGAAACAATTCATTTTTTTATCTAACAAATACTGAATATATAAGTAAGATGCTTAGCTAAGTGCTGCAGTAGGGAATAAAAATATGAATTATGGGCTGGGCATTGTGGCTGATGATGCCTATAATCTCAGCATTTTAGGAGGCCAAGGTGGGTGGATCATGTAAGCTCAGGAGCTCAAGACCAACCTGGGCAACACGGTGAGACCCCCCCATCTCTACCAAACAAAAGTATACATATATATAAATACATATATCTATACACACTCATATATATAATTCATATATATATGAATTATGCATGACATTTAGCCTCAGGATTTTTCTATCCAACAAATTACAAGATAGCAAGGGGAAAGGATAGTTGACCAAATGAGGCACTAGTGATTTTAATGAGATACTATTGATACAATTTTTGGACAAAGCAAGAAATGTTAGCTGAAAGGAGACATAAGGTAAACAGTGTCATTTCTTCCTGGTAAATGATGTTCTCTTACTAGGTAAAGAGACTAAGAATTATATTTGAATGCATTTTTTAGGCACTCAAAAGAAAACGGATTTAATGCCTCAATAAGCTAACGTGAAAAAAGTCTGTAACACAAGATAACTGTAAACCCATATTACCAGTATCTAGATGATTCTTAGGTGAATAATGAGATAAAAACATTTAATTGTATAGGAAATTAATCTTTACAAGTTCTTTATTTAAAAAAGGTGGCTAAAAGATAATTTTCACCAAGGATATCTTTTATATAGCATTCCCCGGGCTTTTGTGGGTGATCCAAATGACAGCATTTTAATCTCCTTATTTTATAAAACCACAACAGCCTGTAAGATTTAACACCCTGGTGTGTTTTGATGGCTGAGCCCACACATTGCTAAGAAAAGAAGCCCATGATTCATCAGTGATTGCGCTGCTGGTGTGGGCACCCTGCACCTGCCTGCATGATGTTGCACTGCTGGATGGCGGTGTGCTGCAGCCGGCTGGCCTCTTCCTGCAGCCGCAGAGCAGCATGGCAGAGAGGTAAGCTGGCGACCACATCCTCGGGGATCCGGAGCGCACTCTGGCAGATCTGCACTGCTTGTACCTTCGGCTTCAGTGACTCCATCTCAGACAACAAATGCTGAAAATGCAATTTCACAGTTCAAAAATGTAATATTTAAATCATTGATTTCATAAGCAAAATGCACTTACTAAATTATAGTTATGTTGCAAGTTATAAACATTTTGCAAAAAAATGTTTAAAACAATGTTGAGTTTAAGGGCCAGGCACAGTGGTTCATGCCTATAATCCCAGCCTTTTGGGAGGCTGAGGTGGGTGACTCACATGAGCTCAGAAGTTCAAGACCAGCCTGGCCAACATAGGGAAACCCTGTCTCTATTTAAAAATAAATTAAAAAATAATAATAAAACAGTGTTGAGTTTGGGAAGCATTTTTCCTTGTTATCCTCTTTTAATCATATAGGTTCCTGCCCCTTTTTACTACAAATTAGTTCTGCTTACCTGCCGATGAGAGAGCTGCTCCTTGAGACTGAGACGTCCAACTTCTGGAGAAGTCAGGGCTGCCTGGGCTTGCTCCAAGGCAGCTTGTAACTTTTTCAACTCTGCTTCAAATTTTTTCATATCCTGGAGAGTAAATATCAATATATGGTACTTGAAGTCCAAAGTCACAGATGAAGAATAACATCACAGTCAAGAAACCACATCACAGGTTAGCACAGTTTCCATAGTGACATTGCCATTTACTTCTAATGACAGGCTTTTATTCTTTTTTTTTTTTTTCATTTTTTACCTTAGCTGCATCTTGGAGGTTCTGCAAACGAATTTTGATCATCTGTTGCAACTCCTCGGTCTCACGTCCCAGTTCTGCCACTTGCTGAGACATTTTTTCTGTACAGTACACGCTAGTGAGGTAGTGTAATTTCTCAGTCATTGCTTCCAGGTCACTGTGAATTTCTTTGGATTCTTCTAGCAGGGTCTAGAGTGAATTGTCAATATTCATGAAATTGACGGGTAGGTAGAAGGGTATAGGCATTCAACATGGTATGGCATAAAGTCCCCTGTGTAAGTTCTGTGTGTTCGTTATTGTGTTTAACCTTCACACCCCTGTGTCCACTTTCTGCTTGGTAGCCACCTACTATTATGACTATTTCACAGAAAAAGAAATCACAGTTCGGGAACTGTAAACAATGTGCAGAGGTCACATGTCATACTACGTGGGACCATGAGGCTTCTGCTTTGTCAACCCCAACCTGCCCCCGCGTGAGAGCCAGGACATAGGAATTCTAGAAGTGAAAAAGCTCAAACACATTAGGTGTCTTATTCATGTCTCTGGGTCTACCTTTTCTTATATTTAGACTCAAGATTTACTTTTCAGCTCTCATATTCTATATCTAAGATTGAAGTCATATTTGTCTAAGAAATGAAAATAAAACAAGCACATTACAAGCAAAAACCTTGGATCACTTGCTTTAAGTGAGACCCTTTAAAGGGGTAGAAGATACATGCAATATCAAGAGAAGGAAAAACAGCCCTCATCGTTCAGAATGATATCATCTACTGGGTCTAGCAGAAATACAACGGCTAAGTAACCATACAATGTGCATTATATGAAAAGTAGAGTGAAAGAGAAGCCTGTGTGAAGAGATGACTCTGACTTGGGGAAGATTGGGAGAAGGTCTCCTGGAAGAGTCACATTTGAACTCAGTCAGGATGTTTGCAATCTGACAGATGAGGAGGAAAAGGAAAGACATTTCACACAGAGGGAGCAACATATGCACAGGTACAGAGGTGGGTGAACCCAGAATGTGCAGTTAGTGGGGTATGTGATGTGTAAAGAGGAGAAATGAAGAATAGGATATTATTCTTAGGCAATAGACGGTATTTATTTTTATTTTTATTTTATTTATTTATTTATTTATTTATTTATTTATTTATTTTAGAGACAGGGTCTCGCTATGTTGCCCAGGCTGGAATGCAGTGGCTATTCACATGCATGATCCCACTACTGATCAACACGGGAGTTTTGACCTGCTCCATTTCTGACCTGGGCCGGTTCACCCCTCCTTAGGCAACCTGCTGGTCTCCCACTCCCAGGAGGTCACCATATTGATACTGAACTTAGTGTGGACACCTAATCAGCATAGTGCACTACAGCCCAGAACTCCTGGACTCAAGCGATCCTCCAGCCTCAGCCTCCCAAGTAGCTGGGACTACAGGCACGCACCACTGTGCCCAGCTAGACTTTTTTAAATGAAGCACTTTCTTTTCTCACAAAAGATGTTTATAAATATATACATTTAACAGATAAATATATACTTTTATATAAGATATATATTTAACAGATAAATATCTGTATATGACATATAATAAGATATATTTATACAAGACATAATTATCTTTAACAGATATATATAGTAAGTACATATATAATCTGCTAAATATATTTAATGTAAATGTATAATTTAAGTATATTTATTAATAAATAATGGAATTAACTATTTTAATATTTAAATATATATTTAATATATAAATATATTAAATAGAAAATATATGACTTGGAAAATATTGAAATTATAAAGAAGAAAACAAAGCAGCTCATCATCTTATAACCCAGAAATAACTTTAAGAGTTAACTGCTGATGAACATTTGGGCATATTTTTAGGTATTAAGCATTGAGGTCATGACATAAGTATAGTTTTCCATCTTTCTGTTTCACCTGACATTAGTGTAACTGGAAAAAGGTCCCAATCCAGGCCCCAAAAGTGGGTTCTTGAATCTTGTGCAAGAAATAATTTGGGGCAAATCCAGAGTAAAATGAAAGGAAGTTTATTAAGAAAGTAAAGGGATGAAAGAAAAGCTCTCCATTGACAAAGCAGGGTGTTCCCAAAAGCCGGAAGAGGAATGCAGCCACCTTGGGTACAATGTCTACTTATAGATAAGACAACAAAGCAAAAACTCAAGGAGAAGATGTGCTCTACAAGGGCCTGCAACAAAAGATTGTTATTCTTTGTGTAACTGCTGTCCTCCACAAGAATCTATGTTAAAAATCTATGTTAAAAGCATTCTTGGATCTATATATAATATATTTAATATAGATTCAAGAATGTTTTTATTCTTAAGATATCAGGACATCAGGACATTTCCTGAATCTGTTATTTCCCAGATCTATTAAGTCCTAGGTCTCTTCTGTAAACATTATCAACCTGTCTCTTTAACCATAATTATCCCGTGACTAATATGCCTATCCTGGGAATGCTACCCAGCAGGTTTCATCCTCATTTACCCAGCTCCTATTCAGGTCCCTGTGAAGTCTCTCTGGTTCTCATATCTCTGACATTAGAAAGAATATACAGTAATGGACTTTCTTTCTTTCTCTCTTCTTTCCTTCCTTCCTTCCTTGCCTCCTTTCCTTCCTTCTTTACTTCCTTCTTACGGAGTCTTGCTCTGTCTCCCAGGTTGGAGTGCAGCGGCATGATCTCAGCTCACTGCAACCTCTACCTCCCAGGTTCAAGCGATTCTCCTGCCTCAGCTTCCTGAGCAGCTGGAATTACAGGTGCCCACCACCATGCCTGACTAATTTTTGTATTTTTTAGTAAAGAATGCGATTTCACTATGTTGGCTAGGCTGGTCTTGAACTCTTGACATCAGTGATCTGCCCGCCTTGGCCCCCCAAAGAACACAATGGCTTTTCTCACAGTACACTCTTAAACACAGACTGCTTTACTTCCTAAAGGATGCATGTGAGAACTCCCCAAAATAGAGCCCACAGTCTGCGTTCTCTCTTCAGCTTTTGAGCCAGATCGTCTCAGGACCTGATGTCTTTTTCACTGTGCCCCATGATGCAGTCAACCAGTCTACCACTCAAGTCATAGAAACCTGGAAATTATCCTTGATTCCTCCCTCTCTTTCACCCAATTCAAGTCTCCAAATCGGAGAATTCTAGCTGCTTAGTATCTCTTGACTTTGTCTTCTCTTCCTAATCCCCAAAGAGAGGCCTTGTCGTCTTCTACTGATACATCTTTTGTATTGTCTTACCTTCCTCAATGTGTTTCCCAAAGGCTGCTAAAGTTGCTTTCTTAAAATACAAGTCTGGACTTGTCCTTTGGAGGCAGAGGCTTCAGAGTGACTTTAGGATAAAGTCCAAATTCCCAACAGACTTTTAGGATCTTTTTCTTATCGCTCTATTGTTATCTCTTATCCCTTTTTCCAGCACCAAAAAGAGCATTCCTCATCCTTACTGCTAGGATTTCAACACACATTTTTATCTAAACATGTTCCACAAGTAGGCTGTCTGGTTTTTCAGGACTCAGCCCAGCGTCACCTTTTCCTGAGAAGCCTTCCTCTTAAACCCTGGGTGGGTGGTTGGGATGAGTACCCTCCTGCGCCCTCCATCTCTGCACTAATCACACTATATTATAATTATCTCCTTTCTATCTGTCCCGTCCCCTAAATAATCAGCTCCCTGAGGTGGGGACAGGAAATATTCTTTGTACTCCAAATGCCTACCCAAAGTCCTTTGGGAAAGTATTCTATGTTTGTTGAATAAATAAACAAACATCTGTATTCCCAGAATTTTAGGAGACCAAGGCAGGGAGATTGCTTGAGGCCAGGAGTTTCAGACCAGCCTGGCCAACATGGCGAAATCCCATTTCCACTAAAAATGCAAAAATTAGCCAGGCGTGGTGGCAAGTGCCTGTAGTTCCAGCTACTCAGGAAGCTGAGGCATAAGAATCACTTGAACCTGGGAGATGGAGGTTGCAGTGAGCCGAGATCACACCACTGAGCTACAGGACAGGGTGAGACAGGTCTCAAAAAAAACAAAGTCATGATCACTGGAAGGACTTCATTATATTCCATTATATGCCAATGTTGACTCAGAAAAAATTATTTGATATTTAAATTTTCTTTAAAATTTCACTACAGTTATTAATACTGCGAAAAATATTTTCTATATTTCAGATTATAGCCATAATGAGGAGTCCAAAAAGGATAGTCAACAGGCCAGGGTCGTAACATTTTTGACAGTCACCATCCATTTTGCCAATTATTTTTCAGAGAGATTTTACCAGGATACCAGCAGTGTTTGAGAGCTCTTACTTCCTTAAATATGAACTTGAAAGAAACAGTTAGGAACTTGACAGTTAACTTTTTCTTTCTTTCTCCCTTTTTTTTTTGCTGATATTTGCATTTCTAAACTTCTAAGGATGTTGGCTTTTTTTCATTGTTTTCAAATCAATGGTAACTTAAGTCCTGTCTGTTCATATCTATGCACATCTTAAAGCAAAAGATTGGAGTTGCTTAAGAAAGACCTTGTGAGAAGAGTATGCAAAGCTGATCAGAGAAGAAAGACTCTGGACAGAGGGAAAAAATTAGGAGCTGTCAAAGCATTCCAAAAAGGGGGAAATGGGGCTTTGAGCTAGAACCCTGTAAACAAGAATGGAAACGGTGATTCATTTAAAAGCCACAAGTGTACATAAATGAGAGAGAAAATCTAGAATACTTTAGGATACCCACGTAACTCCTATAAAAGTCATTCTTTATTTTATTACAAGATAACTAGCCTATTAACTATCTGTATCTAATTTAAGCTCAAGTTACAAAAGGATGAAATAATTTCCTGGATGACGTGACTGAGAGAAAAGGAACATTTTTGTCACCTAACTTCAGAGGAGATGAAGTAATATCGCCAGCGTGTGATGTGGAATGGTGGCTTGCTCTGGGCTGCCTGACCTCCTGTGGAAGGTCAGATGACAGGCCTGGCTGAGGGCTGAGGGCTGAGGGCTGAGGGAGGAGGTGGGAGATCTCCCACTGAGCACCTGCATGTGCCAGGTTTGCACGTATGTACCTAAAACCATTTGATCTTATGATAAGTCTGAAATACAAATATTATTGGCATCTTCATGCAAATGATGAGAAGACATAATTCAGACAGGCAAAGCATTGTGCTCCAAATCACACACTGGCAGAGCTTGGTTTTCCTACCAGTCTGAGTGTGGAGCCTAGAATCTTCCCACACTTCATTGCATCTCTTCATGGAAAGATCTTCCCACCAGAATCCTACAGACAATTGTTTCAAAGAAACTACAAAAAATGAGTTCTACAAGGCTGATTGGTTTTGATCTTGGTATAAAGGAGGTTTAGGGAAGATCAAGGATATTTATTTACTCAATTTCATGAGAAGCTCCTTTCTGTCCAACTGCTGAACAACTCAGGGGTACCTTAGCATTCTTTTTATCTGTTAAATACAGTAATTTTATATCACAGCCCTCTAAACGTTGTGTCAGTCCACCCAGTTAAATCAAATTGCCCTTGGTTACTTTTTAAAAATTATTTTTTCTAAAGTTACCTGATGCAAAATATATTGTTCCCGAAGCTGGCTTGCAGAATTCCATGCAATATTTCCATGTGCCAAGACTTTAGCTTTCTCAATCCACTTCAAAATTAATTCAAGCATTTCATTGTATTCTTCTAAATGTGATGCTGCCTGGAAAACCAGTAACATTAAGGTAATAAGTGGAAACTCAGCTTCTTGAGCTATAAATCAGTTTTCTCTCTCTTTGGACACAACAATCTGAGGGGTTGATCATTATAATATCTATGATATTCAATAAAAAATCATTTCCCTGTTGAAAACTTTCCAAGGTTTCTCAGTGACCTTAGGATAAAGCTCAAGTTCTTAATATGATTGAATTATTCCTCTCTTTCTTTTTTTTTTCTTTCTCTTTCTTTATTTCTCTCTCTCCTTCCTTTCCTTTCCTTTCTTTTATTTTTTTTGAGACAGGGTCTCACTGTCATCCAGGCTGGAGTGCAGTGGCAGGATCATGGCTAATTGCAGCCTTAATCTCCTGGGCTCGGGTGATCCTCCCACCTCAGCCTCCCAAGTAGCTGGGACCACAGGCATGTGCTACCACACCCAGCTAATTTTTTGTATTTTTATTAGGTTTCACTGTGTTTCCCAGGCTGGTCTCTAACTCCTAGGCTCCAGTGATCCTTCTACCTCAGCCTTTCAAAGTGCTGGGATTATAGGAGCCACCATGCAAGGTCTTCCTTTATCCCTTCCTTCACCCTTCCCTGAATAAGAAGGTGGCAAGTGGCGATTATGGAAGACAGTTTCAATACTATAATTAATGGGTTACCAACTCCTGGTTTTAACTTGTCCCTGATTATATTAACAGATTTCAAAAGTCTAGCCTATATGCAACAATTATTACAGATTCACAACCTGAACCTATTAAATCAATGTAAGCTGATAGATATGTAGCTTACTTAAAGATACTTGAATTCACCCCAAACTGATTTCATAAAACATGTTAATGGGTGAATATTTATTTTATAAAATACTTCTCAGTTTTACAAAACATTCACTCCAAAGTTCATTTATAGGACCACCTTTGTCAGTGACTATACCATATGGCTGGATATAAAATAAGGGCTGCTTTATACCTAAGTCTTAGGAACACAGGTGCAGCATGAAATAAGCTACACCTAAACTACTCTCCCATTGTCCATTTTATCTTTTTATTTATTTATTTGTTTTTTTATTTTTTATTTTCAAAAGAGAAAAGCAGAACATTGAAGTTTCTGCCTTGGAGGACTTGGATTACTTGGCACAGAACACATACCTGATTGAGCTTGGAGAGCCGATTCTCAGCCTGCCTTATGGTCTGCTGGTGAAGTTCAGTCAGTTTTCCTATCTTCTTGACCAGTGGTTTACCCAGTTGGCCATTCTGTTCTGAGAATTTCTGTACTGCTGCATCTAATTCCATTAGCTTTGAATTACAGTCATCTAATTCCTCTCCCAGCACCTTGACGGTCATCAAAATGAAAGAACATTAGAGAACAGAAAATAAATTTCTCCAGGTTTTACAAGATCAGGCTGATTTTTGTCAAAGCCAAATATTATAATGAATAATTCTACTATAATTCTACTATGATCCGGTCATTTTTGTTTCTTCGGCTGGAAAGGCAGAGCAGGATATGTTGTAATTCTGGTGTTTATTTCCTATGAGGCTGAGTGAGAGGGCTAACATTTTCCTTCTGCCCCACCCAAAAAGGATTAGAGTCCCTGAACTCATCAACAGAGGAAAGACACAAATTTAGCTACTAAGGACACAATCCACTTTGGAATATATATACTTGTATTCCTAAATCATCATTTACTTCTCCTTTGACACTTGTCTTTCTTACACACACATACATGTATGTATATTTATTAATACTGTTCAATTATAATAAGTTATGTAAATGGATCTGTGTTGCTTCAACTATAAAATTTCTTTACCACCTGCTTTTACTATTTGGTTTCAATAAAGGTTTCTAAAAGGTTTTTATCCTATATCCCCAAGTAAAAATGATTCCAAAAACTATTTAATTCGTTCAGTAGTCACCCCTTCTATTTCTGCTTCTTACCTTTTGGTCAGTTTTAGCTTGAACTAAATTATCTGTCTTTGCTTTCAGCTTAGTTAGAATAGTTGTGAGGTCTTTAGCTATCTTCTGAATTTGCCGGCTGAGTTCCTGGCTCATGGCCTTGCTCTGCTCAACTTCTTTTATTCTGTCTTGGATCTAAAAAGTCAGTGAGAACAGCAAAACAAGCCATAGTTAAAAATGGATAATATATACTAAAAATCTTCAATGATGTTGACAAGACACATTTTAACTGCCTTGGCACTGATATGCTTAGTCACACCAGCAATGTGCAGTTCGTTACAAGCTCTTCTCGCTTTCCCTGTTACCTGACTTCACCAGCTTTATGTATTTACTGCACTCTTTGTGTTCCAACAAAGATACAAGCAATGTGTGTAGAGAAATTCACTTATTAAATATTTATAAAAAAGCCACCGGGCATGGTGGCTCATGTCTGTAATCCCAGTACTTTGGGAGGCAGAGGCAGGCAGATCACCTGAGGTCAGGAGTTTGAAACCAGCCTGACCAACATGGAGAAACCCTGTCTCTACTAAAAATACAAAGAATTAGTTGGGTGTGGTGGCACGTGCCTGTAATGACAGCTACTCGGGAGGCTGAGGAAGGAGAATCTCTTGAACCCAGGAGGGTAGGTTGCAGTGAGCCAAGATCACACCACTGCACTCCAGCCTGGGCAACAAGAGTGAAACTCTGTCTCAAAAAAAAAAAAAAAATCTTTACAGAATACTCATTATAGATGGTTGTGTAGACAGCTGAGTTTGAATCCTATCTTCTCCATTAACTAACTTAATGACCTTGAGCACACACAACTCTAAGCCTTTTTCTTCATAAGATGGAAAATCCTCCCAAACAGTTGGAGACACACTGATTTGCTTCCAAGCACCTTTTAATAAGTGGCTGTTAATGATCTGTAACCTCCTTTTGGAACTTTCCAACTACAACCCTATACTATGCCAACAAAGTATTAAGCACATCTAATGGAAAGGAAGGTGAAAAAAGACAATTGTCATTTACAAATTTCCAATGGCTTTGGTTTGATTTGATAATAAACATCCAAACTGTTGCTTATAATAAAATGCCGAAGAAAAGATGTTGAAGTGGAGAAACATTTCTTTATATAAGTTAAAGGTCTTTAATTAAAAAACCTTTTTAGTACAGAGAAAACACATCATTAAAAGTGCTAATGGTGTGTTTTGGCCTTCATTATTTTGAGTGTCAAAGTAAATGAAATACATATGAATAAGTATATTATAGGGAAATTTATCCAGAGAAAAACTTAAATTTAAACTTAACAAACAAAAAAACAAAAAGCAACCATGGCTGTGCAGAGGCACAGACCTGTAATCCCAGCACTTTGGGAGGCTGAGGCAGGCAGATCACCTGAGGCCAGGAGTTTGAGACCAGCCTGGTCAACATGGCAAAACCTTGTCTCTATTTACTACAAATATAAAATATTAGCTGGGTATGGTGGTGCATGCCTAGAATCCCCACTATTTGGGAAGCTGAGGCACAAGAATTGCTTGAATCCAGGAGGCAGAGGTTGCAGTAAGCTGAAATTGTTTCACTGCACTCCAGCCTCGGGGACAGAGTGAGACTCTGTCTCAAAAATACAAAAGGAACATGAACCTGCCAAATCATCCTTCCCAATAGAGCTTCCATTGTCTAAGAAGAAAAGCCAAATATAGCAATTAAATACTTAAAATAGTAAATAGCATATAATAGTAGTTTAGGTCAAAGTCCTGATGCAGTAGGATCAGATTTTGATGAGATTTTAAAAACACTTTGCATCATACACTAAAGATTCCAGAAGTAGAGACAACTGTTTGAATTTTATAGTTTGTATAATGGGATATTACTTTTTATTTCAACGGGTAGTTTAGAATTGTAGTATATCTTCTCTTTGTCTCATATACAATGGTTTTAATTAAATGTTAATAGCTTTAGTAATAAGCCACAAAGAGAGTCCTAAAAATCTATATTTCCATGCAGATGTTATTTGAGTCTATTTTCACTACATGAAATGGTGCCCTTCATGAGACCAGAGATAGAAATGTCACTCTGGTCTCAACACCAAAAAGGACTACGTATTTCTTCTTAAAGAAACAAGAATATTTGTTTTTTAGATTTATAGACAGGATTATGTTTCTTTTCACTCCTTTCCTTGGGTGTTTAGAAGCTAGGGTTACACTGATCGCTCTTCTCTAGCAACATTAGGGGACCCACCTGCATGCATTTTAGGTAATAACTCATCCCTGCCTTGACCTTATTATTCTTACTTTGATTTTTCCCTTTCCTCCAATATCTTCACCTACTTAACGGATATTTTGTTGCACTACTGAAATGAAATAACAGCTGGAAGAGTCCCTGGTACACTCTGGGCATTCACTAAATATTTACTGAACACATGAAATATATCTTACTTTTTGTTTCTTTAAGTCATTTTTTTAAAGGTGAGGGGAAGCAGAAAAATTATCTTTTATTATATGGCATTATTGGTCATATCTATGATCATCTTGCCTCTGAAAAAGACCTCTACTTTAATATTATTGTTTTATAGCCATCTATTTTTTTAAAACTCTGTCTCCAAAAAGACATGATTGTATAAATCAATAACTCACACAAGAGCAGTGACCCTGTAAACAAAATAGAAAGACACTCTTTCTTGATCATAGGTTTACCTGATCGCGGATCTTTAGGTCCAACGCCACTTCAGCCAACTGAAGGGAGAGTTCAGAAGGCAATATGGTATAAAGACTCGAATACTTATCCTTCTGTTCTTCCGCCATTTTCTCAATGTTCTGTCGGTGATTTGTGGCTTCTGTTAGGAGAATCTGAAGATCAAAATAAGAAATTTCTGGGAACCTGATAAGCAGGCTGTTATACACAAAGCTGTATATTGTTCATCAACATATAATTAAGTGTGGAATTAGAGAAATATCTTAAAATAATACAACGCTCTTCTTTTGTCTCCGAATATAAAGTATGTTCACTTTAAAAAACAAAGGAAAATCCCATGAAGTGACACTAAATATCTTTTATGTAACACATTTCTGAAAATTTTAAATTCAATATTCAATACATACATATAAGTATGTCCTATGAAAATCAGGGCAATTGTTTTTTAAATGATGGATAAAGGGAATGAGGAGTTTTTTTTATACCTGAAGTTCTTCAAGTTGAGCATCTATTTCTATTGTTGGATTCCCTAAATACTCTTTCGTTTCCTGAACCCAGCATTTCACAGAATTGATCTGAGTCTCCACCATTTCTCGGTCCTTCAGCTCTTGCTTCACCAACTTTCCATTAGTCTTCACTTTCTCCTGCATGCTTCAGACACATTACAGGGATGAAACAGAAGTCATGTGAAGTAAAAGGAACCCCTAATAGTTGACCACATTTTATCCAATACGTACACAGAAATGGGAAATCTAATATCTTGCCTGCAAGTAAAGACACTTCCAGTAGCACTTCAGGTCATGTATAAAAGAAGAATAAATGTCATATAAAGTGAATAATTTATCCCTGAAAAATTGAGTTGACTGTCTCACATGCCACTAAATTGCAATTAATTTTCCTATCTGAAGTATCCTGGAGATTATTTGATTATTTACTTTCCCTGTGGAAATCTACTAAAATGCTACATTTAAAAGTAAAGTGTAACTGGAATATATATGGCTATTAGAAAGTAATCTTTAGGCTGGGCATGGTGGCTCATGCCTGTAATCCCAGCACTTTGGGAGGCCGAGGCAGGTGGATCACCTGAGGTTGGGAGTTCAAGACCAGCCTGACCAGCATGGAGAAACCCCATCTGTGCTAAGAATACAAAAATTAGCTGGGCATGGTGGTGAGCACCTGTAATGCCAGCTACTCAGGAGGCTGAGGCAGGAGAATCGCTTGAACCGGGAGGTGGAGGTTGCAGTGAGTTGAGCTCATGCCATTGCACTCCAGCCTGGGCAACAGGAGTGAAACTCTGTCTCAAAAAAAAAGAAAAAAAGAAAGTAGTCTTTAAAGAAAGAATCAAGCTTTGAAAATTTCATGATTAATTGTGTTAATAATGTTCACATTTCAAGTCCTTATTTGAATTAATGTAAATTTTGTAAAAAGATTTTAAAAAGTGTTAGGTTACCCTGACATCACCTATAAGGGAGAGGTGAATGAGGTAGTATTAGTAAATTACATGAATGAGGTAATATTAATAAATGACATGAATGAAGTAATATTAGTAAATGTAGAAATTAAATTATCTATGAATATTTTTTCTCTGGCCCAAGAAGTGAATCAGGGCTAGTTATATATCAAGATTAACCTGCTCTTTCTACTAAATTCACTGCCAGTCAATGGCTATTATTTACCTGGACTGTGGTATTATCTTTGCTCCTCTATCCCTGTCACCCCAGATAGCCAAACAGTTCTCAAACTTTATCGAAACTAAATTCTTAATAGCTCTCAGCTGTTTCCCTCTCATGCTTCATTTTTTGTAAATCACCCTTAGGAGCTCCTTGAAAGTGACACACTTTTAACATGGTGACCTCCCAGGAGCAGGGGACCACCAGGTTGCCTAAGGAGGGGTGAACCGGCCCAGGTAGGAAATAGAGCAGGTCAAAACTCCTGTGCTGATCAGTAGTGGAATCTCACCTGTGAATAGCCACTGCACTCCAGCCTGGGCAACATAGCGATAACCCGTCTATTATTTAAAAAAAAAATTATAGAAAAAAAAGTGACATGCTTATCCCTTTCTTGCATGTCATTCCCCTGTTTGCAAAATGCAATGCCTATCTCCATCCTGCTCAGGCTTCTGCTTAAATTTCTCTCCTCGTCTGCTTGTCTCTGCATGGATTCCCTCAGCTCCCTTTTCACACTTAAGGCTGCCTTAGTTGCCTATCTCTGCTGCGTGACTATAAACGACATGAAGGTAGACACATCATGGTATCTCTAAGTACTATCAGATATGCATCTGTCAAACAAATGATTGAAGAGATAAGGAGTTAAGGAAACTGAAAAGCAAAGATGACGGGAACAGATCCTCATTTTTTTTTTTTTTTGAGACGGAGTCTCGCTCTGTTGCCAGGCTGGAGTGCAGTGGTATGATCTTGGCTCACTGCAACCTCCGCCTCCCTGGTTCAAGTGATTCTCCTGCCTCAGCCTCTCAAGTAGCTGGGACTACAGGCAAGTGCCACCATGCCGAGCTAATTTCTGTATTTTTAATAGAGATGGGGTTTTACCATGTTGGCCAGACTGGTCTCGAACTCCTGACCTCAGGTGATCCACACGCCTCAGCCTCACAAAGTGCTGGGATTACAGGCGTGAACCACCGCGCCCAGCCAGACCCCTGCATTTTCAAGGTGGTGTGAAGGAGCACCTTCATACTCAAGTACCTATTTATCCCTTGAGTCAAGGCCAAGTTTAGTAACAGAATGAAAGTAGGTGCATAATTACTTCAGGCATCGATCTTGCATCGCGGTGATTTCCTGCATGAGTGGGGGCTCTCCTCCGGGGGTAGGGAGGGCTCCATCCTGGAGCATGCTGAGGGCTTGCTGCCGCAGCATGCCCAAGGCCGACTGCTCCTGCTCCAGCTCCAGAACGAACGTGTCGTGATATTCAAGAAGAGTTAAGAGTTCTGCTTTCGAGGCTTTCTCTGCTGAACTTGCAGGTAACTTATCTTGCAGCTGATCAATCATTTCAGTGGCTTTTTTAACCTGATGACAAATGTGCATACTATGAAGTTCAGTAATAAATACACTTAAAAAATAGGGTAATTCCCATAAATACTATGCACTAGTGTATGAAACCAATTAAAGATGATAAATTCTGTCCAGAATTAAAGATGATAAATTCCACATTTTAGGAAACTGGAACTTGAGCAACTGTCTTAAAAGAAAAGGAAACATCACTTCTATAACTCTGGGTTTAAAGCTTTAATCTCGAAATAATATTGGGACAATCATAGACTATATTTAATATAAAAAAAGCTTTTTTTTTTATACTAAGCAAACAAAAGACTCTTTCCAATATTTAAGTTAACATAAATGAGTATCTTTAGGGAAGATATGGTTTAAAACATTAGAGCTTTAAAAGTTGGAAAAAGTGGCTGGGCTTGGTGGCTAGTGCCTGTAATCCCAGCACTTTGGGAGGCCGAGGCAGGCAGATCACCTGAGGTCTGGGGTTCGAGACCAGCCTGGCCAACATGGCAAAACCCTGTCTCTACTAAAAATAGAAAAATAAGCCGTGAGTAGTGGCGGGTGCCTGTAGTCCCAGCTACTCAGGAGGCTGAGGCAGGAGAACTGCTTGAACCTGAGTGGTACAGGTTGCAGTGAGCTGAGACTGCAGCACTGCACTCCAGCCTGGGCGACACAGACTCTATCTCAACTTAAAAAAATAAAAAAGGAAAACGTTAAATATACAGTTTGGGTAATGAGTTAAATTTCTGCTCATTTTCATGTTTCATGGCAAAGAAAAAATATCTTGGTCTTTTTCAAGGCCAGTGAAGAAAGCCAATGGGGCAAAATGAGCTTGTTCTCCTTTCAAAATTTAATTGCTTGGTTTTTCTCATTGAAATAATTTGACCCTGACTTGGGACTAAACTGTACAGTGCATTTTGTACTTTGCTTCATAACTTTGTTTTTATGTCATTGAAATAGAGATTTTAAAAAACTCTTTTTTACTTTCATAATGCTGACTTCAAAAAGGAGCAAAATACTGTTTTTCCTAACACATGATAATCAGTGAGGAAAGAAAGACGAGCTCATGGGCAATGGAAATTACCTTATTGTTAAAGCCCTTCCACTCGTCCACTGCATCTTCCAGGATCTTCTCTTGGTCCTGGGCCACAGCTCGAAGGCGTGTCCAGCGCTGCCAGACAGTGGTCATCGACCTGCTCAGGGCGGCTTTGCTGGCATCATTTCCAGTTTTCTCCAGTTGTGAAGCTTTGTCCTCAAGGGCCACAATTTTCTCATGGAAAGAGTTAACCACTGACACTAAAGCCTAGGGTTGGGGTTAGGGGACAGAAGAGAGAAGACAAAGGAGAGATCGATATTTTTTAAGTTCTATGGATCTTGGTAAAGCCCAAAATTTCCTGCAGAAGGAAATGTTTCTATATAAATTTATTCTCCTCTAGAACTCTTACTTTTACATTTATTTTTTTAACCAGAGTTAGTCTTAAAGTTTTTCAATGAGGTAAGGTGAATATTATTTATTTATTAAAAACAAAAGTGTATTTTGCTACATAAAATAACATTTTTTTCATTTTTAGAATGCATCGCAAATGTAAGTAAAGCAAACATAATATTTTAGTATGTTACATTTTTTTCTTATATTGCTCTGATAAAGGAGGACTCAGTTATTAATTTTTTAGTTTTATTTAAATTAATCTGTTATCAACAAAAAAGTATTTACTGACATTTATTAAGTGCCATGTCGTATGAGATGCAAATTGCTCTGAACATATTTTTAAAATCTTAGCTATGCATTTCCAACGGGAATCGTAAAAAGGCAGGTAACAGCATTTAATAAACTTAAAACTTCTATAAAATGTGGTTAAATGCGTCCTTATTATATTGAAGCAGTCTAGGTAGAAATGAAGATTTATTGATCTGTTTCTGGAGCCATCATGTTGCAAAGACCCATTACTATTACAGAGAAAAGATATTAAAAAAAAAAAAGAAGCCCAAAATGCTGACCTGGTGTTCTGACAATTTTTCTTCTGCTTCATGGCTAGAGGAAGTCTTCAACAAAGAAAACTCAGACAATTTCTTTTCTGTATCATTCATCAGTTCAATAACCTCTTCCCTTGCTTTCTGGTAATCTTGCCATTGAGCTGCACATCTTGAAAGAGTCCAACAGAAATTGATAAGTAACACGATATCACTTATTTCTACAGGAAACTCTAGTGTCATTATATCTAATGATACGAAAGAAGAATGAATATATGTACTAATGTATATCATTTGTGTATTACTACCTTTTGTGTGGAAATTCATTTTACTGAAATATAAAACACAAACATCCTGTAATACCTCTGCAAGATATCCACTTGGGCACAAGAGTCTTGGCTCATCCTCTGGCTCCTGAGTTCCAGAGAAGCCATTTTCTGTGCTAGGTCTTCTTTGCCGGTTGGCTTGATGAGTGGGTCCAGGGTGGCTACCAGGCCGTGGAGCTCCTCCAGGTTACTGTGGAACTGATCCTCTGCGCTGAAAAACTCCATGTGGCTTTTGAGATTTTCCTCTGCACTCTCCACATCTAGGCCATTGCCTGCCAGCTGTAACATTTCTTGGGCATCCTCAAGCCAGTCATTAGCTGCTTGAAATACCTGATAATATCTTTGACACTGGCTATATATTTCAGTCAAGGTAGCCTGAAAAACAGCAATTGCAAACATAATCAACTTTCCTTTGCAACGTGTTTGCAGGAAAGAGTTTCAGTCATTCAGTTGTTTCCCAGTCCTCAGTCTCATGGGTGTATCTGTTTAAGTGAATTGGTAAGTTACTGGAATATTTTTGTGGTGCCATCATTATCCTTGATTTTTCCTTATGCTATTCTTATTATAATTTTGTTATTGCCATTAAATTAAATATTAAGAAAAGAAATGGGATCGAAATTTATGTCAGTATCTTCACTAGTTCTGAAACTTCCCTCTCTGAGAAATAATATAATGCTTGGTGATATGTGGCAGAATGAATGTTTACTGAAGAGCAAGAATGTATCAGTTGTTTAGAAGTATAACAACATGGCCAGGTGTGGTGGCTCATGACTGTAATCTCAGCATTTTGGAAGGCTGAGGGAGGTAGATCACTTGAGGCGAGGCCAGGAGTTTGAGACCAGCCTGGCCAACATGGTGAAACCCTGTTTCTCCTAAAAATACAAAAGTTAGCTGAGCATAGTGGTGCATGCCTGTAAACCCAGCTACTTGTGAGGCTGGGCACTCGAATTGCTTTGAACCTAAGAGGTGGAGGTTGTAGTGAGCCAAGATCATTTCTCTGCACTCCAGACTCTGTCTCAATTAAAAAGAAAAAAAAAAAAAAAAAAAAAAAAAAAAAAAAAAAAAAAAAAAAAAAGAAATATAGTAACACCAAACTTCCAGATTGGCATTTACCAGACCACATAGTAATTTCTAGAACTGAAACAGTAACCTGTGAGTCTTGTTTAGAGATTAAAATAGAAAAGGTGTAAAGTTTAAGTCTGGAAGGCTGGTCCATTCAATTCCAGAAGGGAAGGAAACACTTTAACCATGCATCAGTGGCTGGGCACAATAAGCTGCGACTGTGCAAGCGAAGATGCATAAAAATGGTAAAGAAAGTACTCATAAGATTGCACCAATTAAAGAAAGAAGAGGGACAGCAAAGCATAGAATCAGTGGAGGAAATAAGAAATGCCCCAGGAAGCATGACATCTAGTTAGTTGGACCAAGATAATCAATAAGACAGCATGGAAACAGTACAATCATCTTAATAGATTTAAGATTTTAGTTCAGAACTCCTCAAAAGAAGCAAGCTTACCTGACAAACGTGTTTCAAGAATAAAAATTTCTGGTAACTTCTGCTCTTACTTTACATTCTAGATTCTATATAACTATTTACATGGATAGCTCTAGAAAAATAGTTTAAATTTTGTTTTAAACAATATCCTTGAATCAACTTGAAAAGGTTAATGTGTACTATAGTTTAAAAATTCGAAATTTTACGTGAAGAAGTTTATTATGATTTTATCCAAATATTAAAAGTTTTACTATGTGAAGTGCTAACCTTAATCTCTGCAGAAAATCAAGTTAAATGAGAGCTAAGATTCATCTGAGGTTACTTTGCATCAGACCTGATGCTAAGAAGATAAACCTAATGAAAGAATCATTAATATCCCTCTTCTACAAGGAGGAACAGAACTTCAAAGATGTCATTTCCCTGAGATCAAATAGCTGCTATTAAAACTCAGATGTGCCTTCTCCCAGGCTTTAGCCACTGCATTATCCTGATGAAAGCTATCTTTTACCTAAAGGCTTGGCTGACATCTCCTAGAGTCAGAAAGACTGAAGACAGAGATGGAGAAAAGAGGCCAGGAAATTGAAGGAAGTAATCTTCCAGGCACTGTTTTTCTCTTCTTATTTTTGAATGCACAGAACTTGTAAGCCCCAGAGCAAGCCGTAATTAGGCCAATCTGGGAAGGTTTGTACATGCTCCCATTTCTTTTTGTTATCCCCAAGTCAAGTAATTATGAGTATTCTAGTCTTTCTTTTGCTGTGCTATTAGGAAGCAAGAGAAAGACAGCACTCATCCCCACAGAAGGAGGGAAGAAATGGAGCAACTACTGGGATAACCCACAAGAAAGCAGCTTACTAGCAAGGTCAGGGTTGCATTGTCCATCTGCCTCTCTCCATTTAGATTCTTCATCTAGCACTGATTTTAGAAATACCAGGCTTTACCTTGTTTACAAAGGGCATCGCTAATTATTCACTGTTAATCAACTGTACTATCGATGTACTAACATATAATATTAATTATGTTACTAATACCATTTATCATCTCTTTCAAGATGAGAGTTCACTGAGGCATCACCATTATAAGCAAAGTGCAGTCAAGATGGAAACCACATAAAACGAATACCATGCATATAAACAATTAAAATAACCTGGCTGGGTGTGGTGGCTCCCGTCTACAATCCCAGAACTTTGGGAGGCCAGGGAGGGTGGGTCACTTGAGGTCAGGAGTTCAAGACCAGCCTGGCCAACATGGTGAAACCCCGTCTCTACTAAAAATACAAAAATTAGCTGAGCGTGGTGTCAGACACCTGTAATCCCAGCTACTTGGGAGGCTGAGGCACAAGAATTGCTTGAACTGGGAGTCAGAGGTTGCAGTGAGCCAAGATTGCACCACTGCACTCTAGCCTGGGCGACAGAGGAAAACTCAGTCTCAGAAAAAGAAAAAAAGGACAAAACTAAACAAAAACACAATTAAAATAACCATTTAAGACACTGCTGAAGATGCTTCTGTGTAGTATTTAGACAGAAATATTTAAAGAAGCAATTCCAACCAAGCAAACAAATTTCTTGTACCTGTTTACAAATGAGCAGAGTAGAAAAAAGAGAAGTGAAGTCCTATTACACCCACCTGTCTGGTTCGCAAGGCTTCCTGAATGTCTCCATCTAGCTCTGAGAGCTCAGCGAGGCTGTGTTCTAAATCCGCAGAAATCAGTTCCTTGGCTTTTGTGAACTTCTCCTTTTCTTTGTGACTCAGCGCATTCATGATTCTTAAGCTGGACTGGACCTCTTCCTGATGAATTTGGATCTTTCTGATTTCCTCTTGGATGTCCTGCAGGTTGAGGTCTAGGGACATTGGTCCACTGAGTTCTGCCTTCACTCTCCTCAGCCACTCCAGGGAGCGGCTCATCTCAGTCTGGAAGTCTATACTCTGCACCATTCGGCTCTCACATTCTGTCACCGTCTCACCAATGGCAGAAGTCAACAGTTTTAACTCCTCCTGCCAGGACTGGATCTGATTCCTGGCTTTCTCATAAGCCAAGGGGTCAAGGTGTGGGGCAAGATCTTCAAGATGTATGGCTACTCGTTTCAGTAGAATCCCTGAGTCCTGGAGACTTCCTGCCAGGGAGTGATACATTTTCAGCTTCTCCTCAGCAGGCAGTGTTTCCTCATTCACTTTGGACTGCTCTTCTTTTACAGACTTCAGTTGTCTCTCTAGCTGTTGGCACATCTTCTCGTGTTCTTGGTAAGCACTGGTGGTGTCTTCTAATAAGCTAACCCTTTGTTCTGTTTGTCGCTTCAGCCTGTGATATAAGGTGACAAGGTGCAGCATCTTGTCTGGTTGCCAAGGCTGACCTGTGCTGCGAAAACCTTCTTTTTTCTGATTCAGTTCATCCACTGCCTCCCCAAGACCCACCACTTCGTCCAAAATGGCTCTGCAACCATCTTGCAGAGACGAAGCCTCCTCAACAGCCAGGTCAGTGGGAACTTTGCTCATCCCCAAGAATTGGGCTTCAAGTTCACTCAGAGACTGGGTGGTCAACTCAATCAGGGAAGCATATTCCTTCCGAGCAAGAATTGCTTCTTGGACTTTATAGAACTTGTCTTTAGCCAAGGCAACAATTACATTAAATTGTTGGGGCAAAGCATTTAGCTTTTCACTGAGGTAGGAATGATCGACATCATTCAGTGATGGTAAGATGGTCTGCCCAGTTCTCTGCAGCGTCAGTAGAAGATTTTCATATTCTGGAGATTGTTCAAGAATGTGCTGGTATTTGGCCAGCTGTGTATGAAGCTCGGCACTCTCATTCATTAGGTTGATTTCAGGAAAAGTAACAATATCTGCCTGTTTTAGCCAGTGGCAAGCTTTATCAAAATCTTCCTTAAAATGCTTCCTAGAAACTAAATTCTTCTCTAGTTCTTGTAACCGGTGACTGCTCTTCTGTAGAACACTGTCATAGACACTCTGCAATTCCTGAAGCTTCCCCAGCACCTCACCCTTTTCCTGCTCTGTGACTCCTTTCATTAATTCACGACCCTGGGCCCAAAGTCCAGTGACTTCATTTTGGTAAGTCTTGAGGCTGGCTTGTGCACTCTTACATGTTTTGACTTGTTTGCTCACATCATCTGGTAACAGACAGATGTGTTCACGGAACATTATCTTTCGCTCATGTTGCTGAATTTGGCTGGTGGCCTGGAACACTGCCATGAGAAACTGGGTTTTCTCAGACAAGGCTTTATTTAAGTACTTTCTTCGCTGGCCCACTAAGTCACTGAGACAATTCACGTGTCTTTGTGCATCAGAGAGAGCCTTCTGGATGACCTGTCGCTCATTAAGACCAAGATCCGCCATCACCCTGTCTGCATCCTTTATGAGCGATTTCAGGAGCATCTGCTTGGCCTCCAGTTCACTGCAGATGGCCAGGTGATCCATGAGAAGGTTCTGAGCCATCTCTGGAGGTGGGCTCTGCTTAAGGGCCTCAGCAATGTTGGGTTGTTGCTCTTCTGCCCACTCCATTAGTTCCTGAAATCTGGACTGCACCACATTTAACTCCTCCAAGTTGGTGATGGACACTTGGATTTTCCTTTTAATTAGATCCTCAAGCTGAAACCAACGTTGCTCTAAATGACTCGTCTGTTCTTTGACTAACTCCTTGTCATCTAAATTCAGATGCTCTATCATTTTCTGCTTTCGATCTTTCAGATCTTCAATAGCATGCTTTCTCTCCTGCAATGCCAATGCTAACTTTTTCAGAGCTTCCAGATGCACAGCTGTACTCTCTGCATCAGATCTGAAAATACATGAAAATGTATAAGAGCAAATTAGTTTTAGTCAATATCGATGTTTGTTCATACTATGCTAAGTTACATTTCACCTTTTTCTTTTTGGAGACCGAGTTTTGCTCTTACTGCCCAGGCTGGCGTGTAATGCTGTGATCTCAGCTCACTGCAACCTCTGCCTCCCAGGTTCAAACAAGTCTCCCGCCTCAGCCTCCTACGTAGCTGAGATTACAAGCATGCACCACCACGCCCAGCTAATTTTGGGCATGGTGGTGCAAAATTTCCACAGAGTTTCTCCAAGACAGAGTTTCTCCAAGACAGAGTTTCTCCATGTTGGTCAGGCTGGTCTTGAATTCCTGAGCGCAAGTGATCCACCTGCCTCAGCCTCCCAAAGTGCTGGGATTACAGGCGTGAGCCACTACTCCCAGCTGAAACTTCACCATTTTCTTTAAGTGGATCTTCTGAGCTTAGAATAATTGGGAGTAGCTCAATTAATGATTTATTGACCGAAGTGCTGTAATTAAGGCATACAAGTTTCATCAAATGTCAATACTAGCAGTTGAATCAAATCAAGTTGCCTACTTCTTTCTAGCTGATATTGCCTTCTAATCAAATCAGAATATGTTTTTATTTTTCTATGGCTCTTATCAACTAAGCAGAATCTATATGGTATCAAGGTCCCTGGATGGTTTGGGTAATGTTAAACAGTGAGAAGCACTGATCTACCATATTCTAGAAAATGATACTGAAAGAAACTAACATGTGATGCATGAT